GGGAAAGGGCGCAGCCCTAATGGACACCTGTTCTTATTTCGAAGGAATCTGTCAGCTCCCCATATACACAGACCTGCGCCGATGTGCGCTCATAAAATGCCTTTATGAGTCTAACGATTTTCTCTGGAACACCGTCACGTTCCATCATCCTCCAAAGCGCCGTTCTCTCAATTGAATCAAAGGCAGCCGCAAAGTCGATGAAATACGTGAGAGTGGGTTGCAAATATCTGAAGCGATGTTTCAACACCCTTCTTAACGTTAACGTGAATATCTGATCAGCACAATCGCATCGCGATAGCTTAATTAGGGCGCATCCTGCAGTCTCATACTTCCATAAGTCTGTTGAGTAGCAGGGAAGCAAAAATTTTTGCTGAGACATCTAATAGGCTGATTCCTCGATAATTGTCGCAGCATGACTATCACCTTTCTTGAGAATTGGGAGCAGAATTGCTTTGCTCCAATCATCTGGTAATATTTCTTTTTTCCATACTAAAGAGCACATTTGTTGAAGGAGCCTTATGAAGGACAATGAATAGCATTTGAAAAGCTCAACCTGAAGACCATCTTTTCCTGGAGTTTTGTTGGTTTTAAGCTTATGGATAATCTTCTCCTGGAGTTTTGTTGGCCTTAAGCTTATGGATAATTGAAATTATTTCTTCTTCTGTTGGAGGCTCGCAATTGTAAGCGTATGCTTCGGCAGACATATCAGCTATAACAGGGGCAACAGATGGCGCTTCATGGTTAAGTTTGGCCTCAAAGAATTCTTTCCATTTTATGAGGCGATCCTTAATATTGATTAGTACGCCATTGCTGTCTCTTACCATTTCACTAATCGTTCTTCAAGTCATAGTTGGTTTATGAAGAAGGCAGAATAGTTTCCTATTGTCGCCTAATCGAACCGCCACCTCCATTCTTGAAGCCATGTCACTCCAATAGAGATTTCTGTATCGCCTTGCTGCTTTCGTTGCAAATCTTTGAAGCATCCGGTTAGTCAGGGTCACCTTACATTCGTGCTTTGGCAGCTTTTTCAGACAGTTGGACAGTTGCTTTCGATACCCAATGATCGCAGTTTTTACTAGTATACTCTAGCGTGGAAGTGGGACTTTCGGAGAAATTCCTTTAGTTTGGACCAGTATTCATTTGCCGTTCTAGAAAAATCATTGATATTTGTATCATTGAGGTGCTTCAATAATTCGGCGCTCAATGTCCTCGAATTTTTTAGTTTGAAATAGTTGAAGGATCTTGGGGGATGGTGTTTTCTGTGAGTTGTCAATTTTATGCGGATCTTGGCTCGAACCATAACATGGTCAGATCCGTGAAGATTGCCCGTTTCAGCTCCGCTATAAGAACGACTACAGAGATTGACTAAGATATAATCGATCTGGTTGAAGTGTTGGTTGTACGAGGAGTTCCACGTGATTAGATGTTTTCTATGACGTCAAAATCAAGTATTAGTAACAAAAAATTCATGTTCTTCGGCATAACGAAGAAGACATTTCCCATTGGTACACTGGTCTCCGATGCCACATTTGCCAATTGTTGAGGTCATCACAGCTACATTATAACATACGCGAGCATACCAGTATCCTCCGATTATGATTATGTCATGTTTCGGCTGAGACTTTGTAAGCAGTTGAAATTTCGCATAGAACTTGTCTTTATCACGGTCATCTGCCGACAGCGTTGGAGCATAGACACTGATGACCGAGATATTGCAGAATTTACTCTTAAAACGGGCATAGGTCATACGGTCGTTTACCAGTTTCCACTCAATCAAAGCGGAATGGGCCTTGTCAGATATGGCAATCGCTACGCCATTTCGTCCCGAGTTATTCGAAGCACCACAGTGATATAGCCAATATCTCTGGTCTGAACCAGGATTAATTATTGCTCGAGAACCAAAGTGAGGAAAACGGACCCCCCGACAAGCAAACGATATCCACACGATATTTAGACAGGGAGTGGACAGTGATCGCTTGGCTTGCAACGTCCATAAGCGTTCTGACATTCCACGCTGATACGGCTAATACCTCGCCGCGCGTGCAGAGGGCTGTTCCCTTTGATTTGCAACCCACTGTCACGTGTTTCATTGACTTTGTCTTTGATTCATTTGATAGAAAGATCGCTTTAGGGTGGTGGAATGCGACGTTTTTCCAGAGATGATCGTTCGACTGATAAAGGCATTATATGAGCGCACATCGGCGCAGGTATGTATATGGGGAGCTAACAGACTTCTTCGAAATAAGAACTGGTATCAGGTCTACGTCCTTTCTCCTACAATATCCAACTATACGATAGACTATATAATAGGCATCGTTTATCGGCATTCAAGAGGTGTCCAAACCAGTCCAGTCCAGAGTATTGCATCACAGACCTTGAATACGCTGATGACGTAGTCCTTTTTGCTGAAAATTATTATGAAATGCAAATAATGCTAAATATACCAACAACTGCAGCGAGAATCGAGCTCAGAATCAATGTAAATAGAACGAAAAATATTTTTAGCTAAAGCAAAAATATCGTGATGAAAATATAAATCTTTGAAAACCAGTTGGCAAAAATAAGAATGAGTTTAAATGAGGTTTTCTTGTCAAAATGTACAAAGCGTTCGTTCGTCTTCTTCTTGATTACCTCCATATTACTTCTTACTCCTCGAAACATCGCAAATTAAGTAAAATAATTGAAGAATTCCTGTAATATTTCATACGACGTCTCTCTTCTAACAGCAGTTTTAATGAAAGAAAACTTCTACAATATGACTTGGATTCTCCGTCAATTCGTCGTATTAAACAAGATTTAATTTATACTTATAAGATTCTATATGGTTATGTTAAATATTGTTCAAAGATTGTTCAGAATATTATAATTTTAGGCTAAATTTAAATCCAACAGGAACTAATGGGCTAAAATTACTAAAAAAAACCTATGTAAAACTAAAATAAGGACACATGATTTTTTTAGTCGTAATATTAATTAGCGGAATAAACCGAAGGATATAGCCTGTGTGCCATCCCTAGCTATCTTTCAAAAAAGATTAGATAATATCATTTATGACATTATTTAAAAAGTTCACATCATGTAGTAAAATCTCGATTTTTACCATCCGATTATATATAATACAATTACTTCGAATTGTACTATATTTTATTATTCTGTAATTTCTTCTTTAAATTGTTAATTTTCACATTTTCTTTTTCTTTTTTTTATCAATAATTATTATTTGTTATTTTAACTATTATTATTAATATAAGCATATAGCATTTGTTGCCTCTTGGCTGACTCTCAATAAATAAATAAAACTCTTATAATGAATAAGTAAATTTAATCTTTAAAATTTATCAGTTAAATCTCGTAGTTGCTAAGTATTTTAAAATGTTAACTAATTAAGACAAAATAAATATTTTATGTTGAAATATTTTATGTTAAAATATTGCATAAATATTTTGTTTAATTTAATGGAAGATCGGACAAAATAATAAGGTGCGCCTCCTATCAAAAATAAATGAAAAAGTAAGTGGTGATCAGTGCTCACCATTTCTGATTAGGCTATTCCAGCTGACAGTATGGCCAAAAAATTTTATCAGAAGGCCATTTGGCGACAAAATTAGGTTACCAACACCGCCTGGATTTTTTAGCAGGTCAAAGACAGGAGTCGAATCCATCTCAATAAATTAAGGTAGTATCCACTCCGCAATCTCGAACCTTCTAATAACAATAACATAAAACATTGTAATATAATAGAAACAGTAAAAGAACTATGCTATTATAATAATCAAAATGGATTGAGGATATTTTTGCTAAAATATTTCACTGATAAATTTTCCAATTAATTATCGGATTTCGAAGATTTATTCTGAGAAAAATTTTTTGTTCAGATTTATTGAGCGGTTCTTGTTAGGATTTAAAGTAACCGAAAATACTTTTAGCAAAAAATTTATGATTGAATCAGTGAATTATTTGATAATAACTGATGAAATCTTTCTTAAAGCTATTAGAACTAGAACAAAACAAGTTAAAAAGAGATTACAAGTAATTGCAAATTAAAGGAATGGAAAGAAATCTTCATCTTGCAGTCGAATAAGGCCAAGCAATTGGTCACTGGAAATTTCAATTCGTGTCGAGCCACACGAAGTAAATAATAAATAAATAAAATAAAAAATGTGGGTGGTGCTAGTAGCCCAATTATACTGTTATCGCCAATTTGTTTCCCTTGACTGGTTTGCGATAATTTACCACGGTGGTACGAAGCCAACTGAACTAGTCTGATCAGAAATGGTGAAGAGTGGCCACTTAATATTGCATAATATTGCATTTTGTTTAATTTCACTCACCATTCTGCATCAGAAACAGGAAACGTTCTCAAACCAATTTGTTTCATTCTGCTTTCAGTAATTTTATTTCTTTTTAATTCGAAACGATAAGCAAATAGAATAAGTAAAGCCGTGCAATTTGTCATTAACAACTAAACATAAGACTAAGTAAAATCGAAAGGCAAAAGAAAAACCACTAAATATCTCAGTTAAAAATTCTTTCTTCTTTGCAAGGACATTCACCATTAACGATTGTACTTGTTATGATGGCTTGACTAGACAAATGTGCCAAGGATCATCTTTGATGATTGAAGAAATAGAAACGAATCGCTAGCAACACCAGGGTTTTTCGGCAGATTTGGCAGACTCCTGCCAGAGTATCCTATCCTACCAGAACCACAACCATTGGTATTTTAAGCACCATTGAGCCCTTTTATTTTACCTTGTTTTTCTTCGTTCGACAATATCATTTATTATATACTGATAAAAATGGTGCGATGATGAAGAGGGTTGGAATCCACGTTTTGATTTTCAGTGGCAATTGCCTTACCAATGAGCCGTCGACGCCAAATTATGAGTAAAACTAAGCGATTTTACAGATAATACCTACAGATGGAGCAAGAACAGAACCACGTAAATAAAATGAATATATAGATAAAATGAATTTAAAATCTCTAGGCAATTTATTCCAATAATTAGTAGTACGAATAAAAAAATTATGCGATCACAATTTTTATGTAAATGTTTCAGTAAATTCAGTCTAATACCTTCTTTAATATCCTTTTATGCTGTACCAATTCATGTTTTTTTCATGTAAATTCATTTTACGATAGGAAAAAATTTAACTTAATGTGGACTAAAAATGATTGAAGCCAATCAGTTTATTAATTAAGTGACTTACGGCAAAAACGAAAAGAAAGAAATCCAAATGTTTGACTTCGACGCTTGACTTTTTTTTTAAAGAATCATCACCATTACTGGTTAAACTCGCTCCACTGACTTGTCGCATTGGGCAAGCCAGGGAGTTCCTTGGCGATAGAAATACAGGTAAGTTGCCAGCATCACCTGGATTTTAGTACAGGTCTGCTCCTTCGGAGAATCGAACCCCAGCACCAACGCTCTCAATCGAGCGACAACCCACTGAGCCATTCTATCCCCCTTACCTTTTATAATACTTATTTAACATTTGGGAGTCCATAGGACTCCATTTTCACAAACAACAAATGAAAAACAATTTTCATCACTTTATTAATTAGTCTTAAAAAGCTTTTTAAATGTCATTTCTGATTAAAATTAAAAATTTTGCTTATTTTTATTTTATAGCCAATAAACAATTTCTCTTCATTATCCATCCATTAGAAATGAATAAATACATTACCAAGTACTTCCTCTCCTTTACTCTTTTTTTTCATTATCTTCCATATTCTCGCCTTAGTACCTTCACCTTTACCTTATCTTATTTAAAGTTATTTATTAAATCAAAATTTTCCAGTTCTTTTTTTGATTAAATCTTGGTAGCCAAATTTTCTGAATTGTATTTTCTCATATCTGATTCATTTCAGTTTATTCCTATTTTTTGCTTTTTAGGCTTTCGCTGTATCGAAAATTTTTGGAAATTTTCATCATAGAATTTCTCTTTTCCAATTTCACTTCTTTGAATTTTATTTATTTTCATTTTATTATTTTTTGCACGGTTTAAATTCAAATAAAAAATTTTTTTTTCGTCTTTTCTGGATAATATAAATTAATTAGGTTAATTATTTATAAATTAATTATTTATTCTTTGTTACTAATGAGTAAATTTATAGATTTTGGATTTATGTACAATAATATCTCATTTTCACTGGATGAATATTGCTCAAATTAGATTTCTAAAACAAAAAAAAAAACAAGAAAACAGAGGCCAAAGTAGGGCCATACCATATTGTAGTAAACGAAATTACTTCCTAACTTAATAACCAACATAAGGTTGAAAAAGTAAATAAGAGCTATAACCATTTAGACCATTTCGCGCATGTTTAGGTTTAGGCTTTTTCCACTGCAGTAAATCATTATTAAAAATCATGGTAGGTGCTAATAACTTACTTTTTATCCATAATATACTATTGCCAAAAATTCTTCTTCCTAATGTCGTACAAAAAAATGTGCTTAATGAACAGATTTTTACATTGAAATTACATTACATTGAAATTTATTTAAACTCCTAAAATCATGAAGTAAAAATAAGATATTCAATAAATAGGTACACTTCCATCCATCAGCTTATCGCCTATCATATTAAAGATTTCTTTTCTTGTTTTCAAATATTTCAAATTTTTCAAATGCACTGAATCAAATGTTTTGTTAGTTATTTAAAATTATTTTGCTCGATAATTTTCATTTTTTTGTAAGCTGGTGATGAACAAAAAATTGTTCAGTTATTTTTGATGCTATTTTTATGTGAGAAAAGGATGAATACAATTCCGTGCAATAATATTAAAAATTTGCCACCTAATTTATCACCCATTCCTGATTCGATTTTACTTAGAATCAGTCGCTTTCCATATTTATTTTGCTTATTACCATCCTTCATTTTTAGTCTTTTTTCCATACTTGCAGAGAAAAATTCGTCGCCGGAGACGACTTTGCTGATAAAATTTCGTGAATTCCACAATTTTTCCATTTTTTCATTATATTTTTTAAATTTTAAGTTAATAATCATAATTCTTCATTCTTAATATGATAGATATGATAATCACGTGGATAATGGTTTAGACTGCAGTATTGAAAGTTCACAGTCCAAATCCTGTCTCTGACAAGCAAAAAATCTGAGTGGTGCTAATCTATCTATATTTTTATTGTCAAGTGACAAAATATTAATGGGGCTAGCCTAATCAACCTTATTAATTTTTCAACAGTAGAGCGAATAATTTCACCAATTTTTCATAAAAAAAGGAGGGCCTATAAAAATTCGAAACTGGTTTTCTAATCATAAATAGCTTTGATATTCAATGATATTTTATATTTTTCACTATTTTTCAATATACAATTAATGAATAACCCTCCGACTTTTGCATTTTTTTTTTATAAACTTATTTTTTCTTAAGGAACTCTCTCTCATTCTTTTTTTTTCTCAGTCTTATATATCCTCGCATTTTTAAAATTAATTAAACTTCCATTTAACTTGTAATTTCAGTTGCATTGGCGCATTTATAATTTATCTGTTGAAAGCTGTGTAAAATTTAAGCTATGCGAGGATCTCGTCCATTATTTCCATAAAGCCTTTGAAATGATACCGCAAATAAAACTAACAATAGCAATAATTTTTTAAAAAGAGTCCTCACCAATACTGGTTAAACTCGCTCCTCTGGCTTGTCGCATTGGACAAGCCAGGGTTAGCGATAGAAATGCAGATAAGTCGCCAGCATCACTCGGATTTTTGCATAGGCTTACTCCTGCGGGGAATCGAACCTCAGCATCAGCATTCCCAATTGAACAACAACCCACTGAGCCATTCTATCCCCGATGGCATTAAATAATAGCAACAATAATTTTAATAATTATGCTAATAATTATTGAAAATAATAAAAAAATAATAGTAAAAAGTTATTCTTCAATTTTCTTTCGTCGATATGGAGAAAATTGAATAGCATTTTATTCATTAATGCATATTTTGCCGAAATGAGACTAAAATTTGCCTAAAAATCAACTTATTCACTGCATTTGAGTTTCTTATTTCAATTAAAACTTGGCCTGTGAAATTAAATTCTGTGTATCGTAAACAATGATCGTTCTGGCATATTTTTCATACGTTTGATGATAATTGCCCATAAGTCCAATTGTCTATAACAAAAAAATTTTTGTATACATAAATAATACCGATCATGCTTTAGACTTAGGCTAAAATTATGAATTTGCAACATTTTCTAGCCATTAATTTAGCGACAGATATTATAATAACTAAAGTTATAGCAGTTGAAGTGGCAAATGTTCGGTGCAAAAAAGCGTCGTGAGATATATAGTGGGAGACAGGTCCGATCGATCAGTGTTCCTTCGAGGCGCAAATGGTACCAAAAAAGTGAATATATAATATATATATAATATGGATTATGAAATATGGATTATCATAAAATAAATAAATTATTAATTAGACTAATATGAATATTATTTATACAAACAAGAGATGGTCCGATTCATCTGTCACTTAGCTCTTTGCACAAATCCTGTAGAAAAAAAATATTGGTTATATTATTCATTTTATAGCTGACGATAATTGCTCACAAATCCAATTTTCAAGCCCATTTCAGTCTTATTTTCATGATATAAAATGACGAATCAATAGGAACAAATTGATATAACTGACCTTGAGATATTCCTTGGGTTAAAACACATATCTAATCTAATGCTTTGTTACTTGTACTATCTTCTCACATTCACAATATAATTACAGTATCACCAAATCATCATCGAAGAATTCAGTCTCAAAAGAATTTCTATAGTCAGGTAAGTGAACCATTCTTACAAATTTAAGAGGAAAAAATATGGTGATGAACTGTGTGTTTCTAATTAATTATATGTCGCTTTAATTTAAAAATATCCTAGTTGTTAAAATTTTTTTCTAGGACATTAATTATGTTTCACGGCATCTAATAGGTGCTATAACGATGTGGCATGATATTCACGCAAGTTTAATTCATCTTGCAATTGGTCAACATGAAATTTGTTCCGATGAGCTGGAATCCATTTCAAATACTGACTTATCATCATATCAATCAAGCAGCTCATATGATTACTTCAGTAATCAAGGTACAATTCCAGTGATCCAGGAAATTCTATGGAAGGGTTCCAAAATTTGGCCAAATATAATAAATTGAGTTAAAATTAACAAATATATTTTCAAAAAATAACTGCAAGAATAGGGCAGTGATAGACAATATTTTTTGGTTCAAATGAAATGAAGTATCATGGGTTCAATTCTTATCTCTTGTAATAGTCAATGCAACCAACCAAATTAGGATGATGAATGCTATTAGAAGAGGAAGAACAGGTATTATTCTCATCGTTGTTCAAATCATATTAATTCTTCTTCAGCTCGCACCATTACTGTCGGGTTACTCCACTGGCGATAAGACTAAGGTGCATCCAAGCCACAAGATGCGACGCCAAAGATTCGAAAAAGCCAATCCTTATTCCAAAGCCATATATCGCTGGGTTGCTTATACGTTCAAAATTTCTTCTGACTATATAATCTAGGTCTTGATCGTTACTCCTTGCCGTCTACCAATGGGCACCAATTCCTGGAATGTATGGTGAATTAGGTCAGTATACCTGCACAACGCTCTAAATCGAGTTTGATTAGGACATAATCTATTCTCTACTCCATTCAGTTGGCGAAAATTTTCCTAGAAAATTTAGACTAACTTCTCGATAATTGTCATGATGTGTTCTATCTATCTCCTTCTCCTCTATCTCCTTCTTGAGGATTGGAGGAAAGCATTGCTTTACTGCCGTCATCTGATCAATTTTTTTCCATACCAGGGAGTACATCCATTGAAAGTGAGCTATGAAGGACGTTGGGCAACATTTGAAAATTTTGGCCTGGAGACCACCTCCAGAAGTCTTATTGGCCCAAAGTTTCTAGATTATGAAGATTATTTCTTGCTATCCTCACTGTTTTCAGTTTATAGTTCATATATTGCTCGATTTCAGCCATTTCCACATTAATGAATTTTAGTCAAGATTGGCCAGAAAAAAGTCCCTATACTGTACAAAATCATACCATCTTTGTTTTGGACCATTCCAGTGGACGCTTTCTGAGTTGTGGCTTTTAATGGAGGGGCAGTAACTTCCTAATATCCCTTGAATAATTTTGTCCCATCGTGCCGCTGCTATTGCCTTTGAAGCAACTGATAACTATGGTCTCTTGACATAAGGTACTCTGGTAGCCTTTTCGGATTATTTCTTTTAATGTCTTATATCTATTGATATCCAACTAGCTTATTTGCCGGTGGCAAACCCTAACGTGGGTTCAGTCGATTTTTGGAAACACGAATTTAATGGCACATCGGATCTCAACACCATATCTACCATGGAGCTCACTCCGTGGCAGCCTCTTGGCCTATATAATTTATACATGCATTCCAATATATCTCAACCATTTTTCTGGGACAGCTATTGTTGAAGTTTTTATAAAAAAAAAGCACAGTTCTATGCAAAAAGTAGTATAAATTATACATCGACCAAGATATTAGAACTTCTCTTCGAACTGGTCGTAAACCATGCTAATTTTTATGGTAAGCCCAATTCTTTAATCGTTTTCATTGCATTCCGAATTATCGAAAGAAGCACACTGATACAGTATTTCTATTCCGGTATAACGACTGTATAATATGGAAGATTCAAATTTCCCACGAGGAAGCAATGTCCACGCGATATTTAGGCAGATATCTGACATCTCACATCCATAAGTATTACGCGTCCCATGCTGCTATGGCAAAACTGGCATGTGCATACAACCACTTTTTCACAAGACTTCAGAAATTACCTGGCTCGAGATCTATTCTATTTTCCAATCTAGGAATAATTTCTTTCTCAGGGCTTACTACTGCTGGTTAGACCCGCTCTACTTGTCGGACCGCATAAATTCTGCCACGGAGTCATTTGGCGATAGAAATATGGGTCTCCAGCACCATCTTGATTTTTGAAAAGCAGGTTTATTCCTGCCGGGCCTAGAACTTCGGCATCTGTAAACCAATTGAGCCATTTTATCTTCTTTTACTTTCGTCATTCTCAGTGTCAACCTATAATATGCACTAACGAGCCACGAGTACTGAAGCATCCTTGTTGGAGATGCAGATACCTTATGAATATGATCAAACCCTTTCATCGGCCATAAACCACATTATGTGATATTATTTAAAAAACATTATTTTTTTAATTTCATTATTTGTAAAGAAATATTTTGCTTTAATATTGCATTTTTTATATTGCTTAAATTGACTTTTTTGTAATAGGATCGTGTCGAAAAACAATTACAAAATTACATAAGGAGAGGGAATAAACAGTTTAAACAGCTTCAGTCGAAATTTCATTTATTTATTATGAGTTTGATTTATTTCACGGTTTTTTTTTCGCAGAATCTAAATTTAATGTCAGAAAATACCAAATTAACTACCATCAAAGCTATTCAAAACCAGCGAAATTGATTCAGGAGTCATATGTTACGCTACATTTGGTTTATTTATTGGAATTTAGTATTTGAATAACGTAATAATTCAAAAATTCCATAGAAATTCATTTTATTGCCAATTTTGATATTTTTTTGTGAACAACTCACTATTATCGCAAAATGATAAGATCAGAATCCACGATAAGATCATTTCCTTAACCTTATCGTGATTTAGTTTTTTTTTCAGATGATGAAGGCCTAAAGGAATGTGAAACACATGAAAAGGCTATAAAGCCGTTAGGCTCAAAAATGTCATTGTCGAATCCAGATTTAACAGCTGACCAACTAAAATTGATATTTCCGGAATTATCGGAACGTTGGAGGTTATAGAAAACTTATTTTCCTTGTTTTTTTTGCGAGTTGAATTTCATTTTCTATTGTCGGATGCTTGAGACGCTTTATTTAAATATAAAATTTTGAATTACATATATACATATTACATATTACATATATATATATATATATTTGCTCATTCATTTATTACCTAATCATATTAGTTTAAATAATACCAATAAAACTAAACCACCCACAATTGAAAGAGGACCAAATTAGCATATTGATTGGATTTAAAAATGCAAAGACGGTGATAATGACGACGAAGATGATGATGAACTATCCGATTTTATCCGATGCGATCCCCATTTAAAATAAAAAATTTCTCATTGCTTTCCTCAAAGTGCACGTATCAAATTTTTCGCTGCTTTCAGTACTATTTTCGGTGCTTCTGAGTTTGAAAGAAGCATATCACCTTTTCTCAAGATTATTACCGTCTCAATTTTATTTTAAATCCCATGAAAAGAGCAGATTTTTGGAATCTTGCAAAAATTCGAATAGTCAGCAGAAAGTTTATTCCATCTGTAAAGTTAGCGTTTCTTATATTCCATATTTGTCTTTAGAGAACCACAAGAAATAAGTTAGATTAGTTATTATTAGATTGCCTCACAGATATTGCTTCCCTTTTGCATACCACTTTTTTTCTCATTCGTTATCAATAGATATTATTCTATATTTCTTTTGGTCGTTATAGTATTTTATTCCTATCAAAAATGATCGGACTCATTCGCTAACAACAATCCAACCAATATTCTAATTTTGAAATTTTTTTGAAATTTCGCTCGTCCCGAGTAAAAAAATGAACGTGTACTAAATAATGTTCCGTTAATAACTTTAAAAAATTTTATGAATTAGTTTCAAAATAGGAAGACTGAAAGTTTTCTGCGATCAGAAAAATTTTGCAGACGAACATTATTTCCAAATGTATCCGAGTACTTTAATTTAACTGTGCAGTTATTTGGATGTTTTATTCCTATATAAGAAATGGAAAGCCATCGAATTGAGCTATGAGTGGTTAATGAGACGAAATTAGCGAGATTCTCAGCAATAAATTGCATTTCTTGCTCTAAAAACTAGTAATTTTTTCGCCAAATTAATGGCATATATCATGTGGAATAAGTCAGCTTGTTGCTTGTTGTGCGATAATTAATACGACTTCGTCCTTTGAACCAATATTAATTTTCTTTCTGTCTTTCTTCCGCTTCATATTTTGTGATTTTACAACTATTTTCTTTCTAGTAAGAGATTGTCTAATAAAAATGCAAAATGAACAATTAGACAATATGAATGCCAGCGAAAAACACTGGAATTTTGAGTTGAAACAAAATTTTGAAGACACTGAACGACGGAATTTCATCAGATCAGCGGATAATTCACCAAAACAGGATTTGTCGAAACGATCCACATTTCGCGATAATGTTTTATCGCTGTCATGGGATTTTTTACAACTTCGAACAGCGAATAGTTTAGATATAACTACTAGAAGAACAAAAACTGCAATTCGAACTCGATCTTATTCGATTAATCAGCCTGAAGAGGAAAATTTTGCAAATCACCGAAAAGAAAGGAAATGCATACACTGTCAGTACAAGATACAAAAATTAACACATGATCTTTCAAGCAGTATAAGTCAATTGCTCACCCAAAAAAATACTCCAAACAAAAGCAATATATGTTCTTTGTCGAATGAAGAAAATAGAATTTGTTTTCCGATGAAACACCATATTCATCCTACTCCAAATATTGTCATATCACCATTCCAACAACAAGAATTCATGCCAGATGCAAATTCTAGCAGAAATTATGAATACGAGCGCAGGTAATTTGCTTTATGAAATTACTCCCTTCCAAATTTATGCATTCTCGAGTTATTCTTATTTTTCAACAAAATAAGTTAATTTTGCTAAGGTTAAGCCATCATAGACACTTTTATTGCGATTTATTTACATATAGATCTGTCAAAAGTGAAATCTGGGTGACGCTTCCTGTACTTCCATCCTTTCTGACGTAGATGTACGGTCCCAGCAGCCAATAGAACTAGCTAAAGATGCTATTAGAATAAGGAAATGTTATAATAATTGTAATTGATTTATAATTAGTTTATATTAATTTGGTTATTGATAAAGATATTTTGCAAATCAAAATCAATGAGTGATAATAGTGGGGTATAGAATGGCTCAGTAGGTTGTTGCTCGACTGGGAACGCCGAGATTCGATTCCCGAAGGAGTAAACCTGTACAAAAATCTGGATGATGCTCGTGACTCACCTGTATTTCTATCGCCAAGGGAATCCCTGGCATATTGTTCAATGTGACAAGCCAGTCGAGTGAGTTTAACCAGTAATGGTGAGGACTCTTAAAAAAAAAATTGGTGGGGTATAAAATGGCGATGTACCATATAATAATCCATAAAACATGAGAAGTGCCTATATTTCATTACTGTTATCATATTCGATAACATCAGAAAAAGATCATATTTACATGAATAAGAAAAATCCCTATATATATATATATACATTATCTATACATTATAATACAGTATTAAAAAAATGAAAAAAATGTTTAAAAAACTAATAAAAATAAGACATTTGGAAAAATGATTGATTATTGCTTATCGAATTTCTTTTATTTTTATTTATTTGTTTATTTATAGATTCTATATTAATCAAATTAATATTTTGGTTATACAAAAATTAATAGTGGGGCTGAATGTTCGACCAAATCGTCATGGGTCCGCTTCCTTTCTCATAAAAGCAATTATCACTTACTGAAACTGAAATCGAAATGTTACTTCTGTCATAGCGATGGGGTCTTAATGAAGCGAGTCAAATTTGAAATGGTGGTGCATTGGTTTTTAGTATAACTATCGTCTAATGCCTTGTTTCATTCAATGTTAAAATGATGATAAAAAGAAAAAATCTGCGTCTTGTAGGATATAAAGATCAGTCGAAACGATGAATATATATATATATATATGTAATAAGTGTTATGCCGCCCATTGTTTCCACTGTTAAACTTTCCAATTTGTTTTCAAAAATCTGCTGATCACTGCTCAATTACCAATTTATTCAATTGCCATTCAGCGAATTCTGTGAATTCGTTCCACTAAAAATATTTCTTATTTTTTTCTTTTTTTTCCAAAGTTTTACAAATATAATATTTATTTATATTGAATTAAGCTTACAAATATTTACGGGATTGGCTGGTTATGGAAACCGATGCTGGCGACCCTGTACATCTATCGCCAAAGATCCTTGGCATGTTTGTCTAGTGCGACAAGCTAGCGGAGCGAGTCTGACTATAAATGATGAGGTCTTTTAAAAGAAAGTAGCCGGTTTTTACTAAATTATCGTCTCGTGCAAATCTTGTCTTTACAATTCGCACTCCGATGTGAGCGAATCTGACATTTAAAAAATTTAGGTTGTGCTGGTGGTTTATCTATACTGCTATAATTAAGTGACTTTCTGATTTGAGTCGTATTAACAACCATTGGAGCAAACCCAAGAAATGATCAGTGCCAGTTGCAAGTGCTTTTCTGCAACTGAAATCTGATTGTTTCATTACATAATTATATCCAAATTATATACTTTAGAATTCCATCGAATTAACTATCGAATCCATTTTGGTTTTTGAAAAGCAATCATCTTATGGAAAAAGTAGTTGAAAAACCTCGTTTTTCTTTTCATTCGTTCATTCTCTACAATTCGATTAGTGCAAGAATAAATTTCATTCCATAGCATTTTTTTTTTTTTCATTTTGTTCGAATCATTTTCGATAATTGTTTTGAAAAAAATTGTAAGCGAATTACTGTCACAGTGATTGTCGAGCATTATGTTACTTCTTTTGAAGGCAGCAGCTTATATTAAATTTCCTTAATTCATTGAGGAGAGCGAATCTGTCTAAAAATCCTCGTGATGCTGGCGACTTCCTGCACTTCTATTGCAAGAGATTCCCTGGCAGATTTATTTAATTCGACAAGCCAGCGAAGCCAGTCTGAACAGTAATGGTGAGGGAAATCATGCAGATCATTTTTATGATTGTGATTTATGGACATCTATGGCAAAAAGATCTTCAGTGGAACTGAAAATTGTGTACTATAAAAGAAGAGGACTTAAAATGATTCTTTTTTGATTTTTTCACTTAAGAATCGACTACATGCAGAATTCTGGCATAAAGAAATCACTTTTGGATACCTAACTTATAAAAATTAAATAAAGAAAAATAAATAATTTAAGTTCACAGAATTATTTTTATTAAATGAAAATTGGGTGGAATGGACCATTGAATCGTTTTATTTCGAAGCGTCAGTGATGTTCTAGTTCCAGTAGGAGTGAATCTTTATGTCTTTCAAAAATCCTGGAGGTGTGGGTACTTCTATCATCAAATGACTCCTCGGCAAAATGCCTGATCTGACAAGTGAGACGAACCCAATTAAAATAGTGGGAAAAAGTTTGCAAATTAGCAATCAGCAAATTTTTATCGAAAATTCTTCGAATTAATAATTTCTTTCCTCTTTTAATACTTTGTACCATTATTATACCATAATTATTTTTGCTCTTTGCACTGAAAAGAAATTATTGTCGATTTTTGTTTAAATTGCTTAGATTATCCTGTCGGGGAGTTAGTGGTTTGGCTCCCTTCGCAACCAAAATAAATTTCATTCAATGTGGAAATTAAATTAGAAAATTTATTTCAAAAGTCTACTGTACTGAAATTTGATAAATTTATAATATCTTGGAATATTTCAGTCCAGCAACAAGTCCATCATCGAATCACAGTGATAAATATTTTCAATTTGAAAATATGTCTGATGACAGTAATAATCTATTAAAAGCATCATTCGACTTAAACTCATTTGAAACCCGAAATAATTTGAATTTAAAACCGCCAACGATGATCCTTGGAAAAAAATATCTGCAGTTCCGATCAAATTCCGCTGAACATTCAAGCAATTTAATCGTTAAATCTCTTGATATTGCCGATAATGAAGCTAAGGATTATAAAACGAAAGCACGTAGCACTAGGTCGTATTCATTCGATCCGAGTGCTTCCTCAAAAATTCAGTTGAAATTACCCACATATAAATATTTAAATGATATATTCAGGTAAAATCATCCCAAGCATCCACATTAGATATTTTTATTTTTCTTTCAAATAACATTTAACAAACGATAAAATTAGAATGCGATAGTTATATTCGAGATCCATTCGTATTTCTAACTCCAAATAAATAACTAGCGAAGAGTTCTTATTATAATAGTCCGTGGAATAAAGACGGCATGACGGCATTAACCAGGATTCTATTAATAGCTATTTTGCTATAAAAATTATTCCTTGTATGTGTAGTGTAGGTAAAAAGATCGAAAAGATTTATAAATACATCTTCAAACTAATATTGTTTTAATTTTTTAATTTCTTTTCTTTCGAGTACATTGATTTTATTCCAGGAAAACTTTAGCAAAATCTCCTGTTGTTAAGAGGAAAATTGCGATGCAAGATTATGATACTCAAGCTGTATGTAAGCATCGTTCGATTTTATATTGGTTTGATGAACAGGTTGCCTTGTTTTTTATAGATATTCTTTTATTTAAAATATTTGAAATATTTGAAATTTAGATGAGCCATTAGAAATCCTTATAAATCCTTATATTATATAATTAGGAAAAATGCTCCAATTCCAACGCATAAAGCTGGTGTTTTCAGCTTCGTCCTGATGAACATCTCTGGTTGTCATCATCTGGACCCGGTACTGCGACTAATATGTGCCGTGATACTGAATGCTATATTGGTAAGAATTTTATGCCATTATTTTCAAAGTTTTAGTTATATGAATTTAAGTTTTTTAATTCTTTTCTTTTTTTTAATTTAATATTTTATTTTATTAGCAGTTGGCATTCGTTTCGTTTTTTATTATTTGCAACAATAACTGGCCTATTTAACTGCACTAATAAATTTATAACAGATTCAGAGAAAAGAAAGGTTTCTTTCAATCTCTGTCTTCACTGTTGAGCTCAATTAAGTGCCAACTGACGCATACTATATTACAAATTTTACTTATAGCCTTCATTTTCATAGTAATTAATCAGATGAATGCATTTTTTTAAAATATTCTTCTTTTAAAATCGGCTTTTTTTCGCAATAAATATATTACCTTTAAACAAAAAGGTTAGAAGTTATGCATGAATAAGGCAATTATTGTGGTAAAAAGGTTAAAAGATAATGGAGTTAATCTCGACGAATGGAAATTATTCGTTCTCAGTTTCAGTTGATTTTTATTTTGTGCTGTTCCTTTTTTTTGAAATAAATGCAAATAAGGTTTTGCTCGATGAATGAAGCAAAGATTTGATGATTTGATGAAAATGAAATTTCTCAAAAAATAAAAAATTTCAATGTGAATATATTCATAAATTTTAGGTGAGAAAGTCTGCGAACGAATGGGTGAAAAACGCCTTTGTGTAGCTTGCCATATCGTTGCTCATTCAGCTTGTATACCATTACTCAAACAGGTTCATCCAATTTATTTATTCCACTTAAAAATTGCTCTCATGAATTATCTCGAGGAAATGATGTGAGATTGCATGAATATTTGTCTTTAATCGAGAATATTCTTTATAGCTCGGATGTTTATGTACTTTTGAAGGCTTATTTATTATAATAATATTTCATCTGATTTAAGAACGAACAATTAATTATTATTTATGTTTAAATAGAATGAATCTCGATTTTTTGTTTAGAAAATACTATAAATAGGCCAAATAGGTCAATGGCCAAAGATTTTATTTCTTGATTTTATTTCTAAGACCTTTTGCATATAAAATAATTGTAGCTAAATTAGTTCTTTGTCTTTGTCTAATAGCATTCACCGCTTCTGCTTTGGCTTCCACCATCGCGATAGCGTCTGTAGAAAGTCATTTAGTGATACAAATATAGAAAAGGAGTAATTTCTAGAAAATTCATTTCGATTTCAGATAAATATGAATTGTAAAGTAACTTATCGTGACGTGCTTACAAGATTTGATCCAAAGATGAATGCAATTGGACGACATCATTGGGTTCATCGATGGAAACTTGAAGGTCGATGTAATGAATGTCGAAAATCATTTCAACAAAAAATCTTTCGTGAAAGAGTCAGCAACTTATTTTTTTACATCATTTTTTATATTTATAAATTATTTTAACTATGTTAACAAATGATAATAGTTTTATCTCCAGTAATACCATTATCGGTGTTATCAATCGCATTATCGACCTAATAAGCAAGTTTGTTGGTCTTTACAAGGAAATAAAAGCCTATTTATTGCTTGCTTTTTATGGCTTTTGGCAAAGAAGTGCGATTAATAAATTAAATTTGTAATATAATGCTATTGCGTATAAAATTTCAGTATACAGAATTAGAAATATGATAGCACTAGAAATTTTAAGAGGATCTGAAAAAATTGAGGCATATGTCCAATTTTGTGGTATTGAGCAAAAGAAAAAATCCAGTGCAAAAGAGCCAATTTCATTGGTTATCGGCAGGCGAGCACATTAGCCAAATATAAATTATAAATGATTAAGGTGGATTTTGCGAAATTTTAAAAAAAGGGAATTTTTTTATGGAAAAAGATCCATATAGAATTGAAAATGCTAATTCCTTTTATTTTTTATTTATTATGCAATTCAGCTTACGTTTAAATCCTAAACTGTGGGTTATCTAAAATCTAATCAATTTTAGTGCTAAAATTGCATTAGCATATTTTAATTTAAATTTATGCAGCTAATCAGAATAAATTTGTTGTCATTTCGGAAATACGATTGAAATGTGGGATATGTGGGATAGAATGGTCCAGTGGGTTGTTGCTCAATTGGGAGCATCGATGTTGAGGTTCGATTCCCCGCAGGAGTAAACCTGTGCAAAAATCCAGGTGATGCTGGCGACTCACCTGTATTTCTATCGCCAAAGGACTCCCTGGCTTATTGTCCAATGCGACAAGCCAGTGGAGCGAGTCTAACCAGTGATCCTTTAAAAAAAAATAGTCGACGAATATTAGCTTTTTTTCCTAAAGTTTATAAAGTGATTTTTAAAAAAATTTGCAGGAAGTACTGGCCATCTCTTGTTCATGGTGCAAGCGATCTTACCATAATAAAACATCTTGCTTTTCTCAAAATCAGTTGGAGGAGCAATGTGATGGTGGTGCTCTAAAAAATGTTATCATCCCAGCATCTTGGATTTGCCGTGTAAATTTATCGCGCAAGACTAATCAAAAACAATCTAATTTACTGCAACATAAGGTATTCTTTTTCCGAAATTTTTTGCTATCATATTTCTTCAGTGATGCATCAAATAATTTTTGCTAAGGTGAACGAAGATCTTTCGCTTCTGGTTGTAATTTTTTATTTTCATTAAATTTTTAGCGTGTATTCTTTGTGAAGCCATGCGAGTCAATGAAATTTACACCGTCTCATCCTCTAATTATATTTGTAAATCCGAAATCCGGTGGTAATAAAGGAATAAAAACAATGCAAACGCTTTGTTGGCTTTTAAATCCTCGTCAAGTTTTTGATATTTCTATTAAAGGACCGAAATTCGCGTTAGCAGCTATAAATCTTAATTTGATATTTTCAATTTAAATTTTTTCTCAATAAAAAGTTGTAACTACAATTCTTATCTGACTATTCTTAAATATAAAGATTTTCAGACTTGAAATGTATAAGAGAGTTCCACAGTTACGGGTGCTTATTTGTGGCGGTGATGGAACTGTCGGTTGGGTGTTAAGTACTCTTGATCAAGTGATTTTTTTTCTTCCATCAATTCATTTCTTATTTTATATTGGTAGTATTAGTATTTGAATCCAATTTTATGATAATCTTTGTGATATCATTCATTTTTCTTTCATAGTCTTTCATTCATTCTTTCATTCTTTCTTTCATTTATTGCGATCTTTTTACAGTTGGCATGGTCAGATTATCCACCTATTGCTGTCTTGCCATATGGTACTGGTAACGATCTTGCTAGGTACGCTTTTTTGAAGTTTTATACTTTTGCTAGGTATCATCATTTTTCCTCCTTTTCTCAGCTATTTATTTCAGAAAAAGTTTTTTGCCATAAAAATATACCCTTTATTATTCCGTTGGACAATTCCTGATAACATTTACTTTATAATTTTCCCATAATTCACTGTAAAAAGTATGTGTATAAACGAGAATTTCGGATTTTTTTTTAAAAATCTCTAATCAAAGAAGTGCCTAAAATAATAATCGCCTGTTCGACTGCATATTTGTTCTCGTTTTTCTCGTCCTTGAAATTAGGCATTTATATCACTTACTAAACTTATTGAATGATGTTATTTTGCAATAAATCTCCACAGTATATTCATAAAATACATTGTGGAGTTAAAATTGGAGTATTAATAATAAAAATCGCATGTGGGGACGATGAGGGATGATTTTTTTTTCAGCGCGAATGTTTAACCAAAGGTTTTCCTGAAAATTCGTTCGCGCTTGTTTATTAATATTTATTATCAAATCGTTAATATTGTTTAGCCCATTTTGTCGTTTACCACGCATTTATTTGTTTGTTCTGACCAGAATTTTGAGCAATCAAGCGAAAAATAACTATACATTCAAAAAAACTAATAACTTGAGCCCAGTTAAACTTAATGAATGCAATTTTATTCATATAGGAAATTTAGTGCTTTTTTTAAGCAATTTTTTCTAAACGCGAATTGTAGACCCTGTTAAGTAACAATTTTACAGGTGTCTTGGCTGGGGCGGTCATTTTAACGATGAGCCACTCAGCGATCTTTTAAAGGCAATTATGTATGAAACGGCAGTTGTTTTTCTTGACAGGTAAGTTTGACGTTTGCAGATGAAATTACTGATAACTGTAGAAAATGCTAATATTAACAGCTCAATAAAATTATTCGGATATTAGTTTCTGCATAAGTTTGAGGGATCAGAAAGTTTGTATTCATATATCCATATCTCTTCACCAGTATCCATATATGCCAGTATGGTCGAGTAAAGTCAGTACTATTCCTTCTTAATGTCACTGGAAAATTGGATAAAATTTGTTTTTTCATATCAAAGCTGCGTGAGATTTACTTTATGCAAAAAAAAAGAAATAATTTTAGGTGGCATCTCAATGTTCAGCCTAATGTTAGTCGTGCAAATGAGTCAAGCGAGGAAATGAATGAAGCAGTACAGTGCACTTTGCCATTAAATGTTATGAACAATTATTTTAGCATTGGAGCTGATGCGCATATTGCTCTTCAATTTCATCATTCCAGAAGTTATTACTTATTTTCCGCTTTATATTTCTAAATATTTTCTGTCATCCTTAATTACTATCATTATGTACTCTGTTCTCACCTCGAAAATGTGCATTAATCCATTTGCTGCAATCCTATAAATTGAGAAGTCAGGAATGGTCGAGTGGTTTGGTAGTTTCGGTGCATTGGTCATCATAGGTTCGATTCCTTACCTTCTAACCCTATCTCCCTCTTACCTTCTACAGAATAAATCTGTCATTAAAAAATCGAGAGATGCTGGCGATCCTTTTAAAATTTCTTTATAAAGAACTAACGCAGCAAAACAGCTAACCAGAAATGATGATAGCCGCTACTGGTTAATATATCTTTTTTCTTTTTTTCCAGCTTCAACATGTTTTTTAGTATTTTCACGAAGTTAAAAACTTTTGAGGTGCAAATCCACAAATGCTTAATAGTCGTTTCAAGAATAGGATCGCTTATGGTGGCTTGGGTACCATAGATCTGTTTAAAAGAACGTGGAAGGATTTGTCGGATTACATAACTCTTGAAGTAAGAGTATATGAAGCAATATCTATTTCTATAAGACTTCAAAGCTAAATAAATTTATCGTAGTCTTATTGTTGCTTTCTTTCGATAATTATTAAATATTCTTGGTTCACAATTATAATACAGTGGTAGTAGATGGAAAAATTATTCGCCACTTTTTTATCCATGAAAATAAAGGAAATATATTTCAGTGCGATGGCTGTGATCTAACTCCTAAAATTAAAGAATTCAAGTACCACTGCATTCTATTTCAAAATATTCCTTATTATGCTGGTGGTACTGTACCTTGGGGAAATGATGAGAATGGATCCTGTCGACCATCAACTTTTGATCATAAAGTTGAAGTACTTGGATTCACAACAGCATCACTGGTAGGTCGTTTTTTTATGAGTGAATTATCAACGTGCTTCGGTACTTTTCGATATCCCATAAATTTTATAATTTTGTATGGATTATATATCCTTTAGAGAAATTGCTGTTTCATTTAATCGGCTTGATTTCAGGCAGCCTTACAGATGGGAGGTAAAGGTGAACGCTTGGCACAATGTTGCCATGTTCTCATTACAACTACGAAAGCCATTCCAATGCAAGTGGATGGTGAACCTTGCCTTCTTGCACCATCCATCATAAGTCTTCAGTTTCATAATAAAGTTAGTTGATGGAAGATTGTATTGTTGACTCTTTCTGCTTTTTGCGCAAAATTTTCATTGTCTACGAAATAAGGATTTTAATGGTCATTTAATATTATGACCATCTCATTTAGGTACCAATGTTAAAGAGAGATAAAAAACTGCAAATGAACCTTGAAAAGCCCATTGCTTCACCAAAAATTAGTGCAAGTTCCTCACGATTGAATGTCTCACCATTTGAACTTCGAGTTTTTGTTACAACTTTGGAGATCTATCAAAGGCATCGTGATAACACCGATAAAATCAAGGATAATGGTGATTTTTTTGTGGCTTTCGTTGTTTTTTCTAAGGATTCCGCTCAGCATATAAAGCAATCATAAGGAAGGAGACAAAATTAAATACTATATCTGCATTTAGCTTGTGAAATTGGCTATATTGTTATCGAAACAGATATGGATTTGCTCACAGTTCGCCAACATATCGACCGTCTTCTTAATACCAATCAATCTGCGGCCATTAAATCGAGCAGAAATTGGTTTTTCCTTGATTGTAATTTTTTCATTCTTTTATTTCCTGTTTTTTTGGATCCTGCATTCCTTTCATCCTAGAATTTGTTCCTCTTTTGGTCCAGGTGAATCACTGACTTATATTGGTTAAAAATTAAGCAGAAATAAAAGCAAAAATAAGTGGTTAGTGCCCACTACTTCTAGGTATTTTGACCTCCACCGACTATATTCGTATTCTTATGGTGAGAAAAGAAATTTTTGCTAAGTTTTTTAGTGGTAGAAATTTAAGTGCCAGCAGCACTTAGATTTTCAATCAGGGATTTACTGTAGCCTGAGGTTGAATCTGGAAAAGGACCGGTAATACAGGCTATAAATGTCAGCTATCGCGCCATAGATCATATACTTCATTTACTTCAGAATGTGGAGCATTAAATCTTACTGAGTAACACGCCCATTGCTAGACAATAATATGGAGTAATTTTTATGATCTTAGTGAAATTTTTATTGAAAACCAACCGAGCAGGGCGGCAAGAGCCATGTGCTTCTATTAATGTGTTTCTATTAATGCTTCTATTAATTATTAGTGAAAATAACAAAAATGAAAATTAATGATAAAAAAGTAAAATATGACAGAAATTAATAATATAATTGAGTGGTAAAAATCAAGATTTCAAACTTCCTGCATGATATGAATTTTTAGATAATATCATATTATCCACTGATATTATCCAATCTTTTTTTAAAAAGCAACTAAAGATGGTGCACAAGCTAAATCATTCGGTAGTTCATTCTAGTAATTAATTAACATTACAAATAAAAAAATCATGGATCCTTCGTTTAGTTTTGCAGATAGGTTTTAATAATTTAATTTGGCCCATTTGATTTTGCTGTATTAGAAAAATTCCCTTGAATTCTTTAATAGACCAATTTATCGATTCAGCAATACTTTGGAATTGACAATAGTCAACCAATTTTTCATTTATAAATTTTAATTTTAATTTTTTATCATTTATATATTTATAGATATTTATATATATATTTATATAATATATAATATATTTATTTATAATATATTTATATAATAGATAAATATATATTTATATATTTATCTATTATATAAATTTATTTAATATGGTCATCATTGTTTCAGACGTAAGTCACGCAGATGAAGGTATTTTTCGGTTGACGCCACAAGTAGAACAATCATCCGTCATTTCTGACATTTGTAATGTTGATGAATGCGTTATGATAATTGAAGATTCTCATCACCCGAGCACACAAATGGACTTAATAACCTCTAGAGATTCGTCCGTTAAATCATCTTCTTCAATGCTTAATGCAGAAAAGGAATTTTCGTTCGATTTAAAGCCTGATCGTCCTCTGTAATTATTATAATTATTGTCTAATTGAAGTATTTAGAAAATTTTTTAAATTTTTTTTTAATTTTTTTTCAATTAATAGAACTTCAGAATAAAATTGTAGTAAGTAGAAACAAAATGAATGGTTAAAAACAAAATGAATGGCTGAGTGTTTCTGGTTGAAATTATTCTAATCGCGCTCTATTTATTATGAGGAGTGCGGGTGAATCCCACGCATCCTCCGGATTTATTTAGCCGAATCACTTTTGTTGGAGGTATAATTTGGATGCAAGAGGAGATTATCTGAGCATCAACCACTCGGCTGGTTAGAATCTAATAGGATCGAAGAAAAGAAAATATGGCCTTAAATTAGCGATTATTAAAAATGGTATTATTAAACTACTGAACTACTAATACTGTTTCTATTTTCTTTTGAGTAAATTATTAGAAAAGTTCATTCTGTTTTCGTTCATTTATTCATAGTCCAAACCATCTTACAAAAAAGTTTATTTTAATTGTATTATAAATTACTTGCAAATTTTATAATTTGATTAATTTAATTCTTTATTCCTTGAAATTTTTTTTAAATATGAATAAATGGCTGATTAATATTTTAGAAGGATAGAAGGGCTTAGTGGGGTGTGTGTTTCTCATTTCAGAGCGTTAATGCTGGGATTCTACTCTCAGCAGAAATAAATCCATCTTTCAAAGACCGAATAGAGCTAGCAACTTATCTGTATTTCTATCAGCAAGCCTTGGCAAAATTTGCTCTGACAAGGCTGCAAAGGTAACCAGAGATAGTTAACCAGAAATGTTGAGTGCTTTCTAATAAAAAAATTTTATAATTAAGATGGCAGAATAGCCATTGCTCAGGTTATCATTTCGGCTCTCACATTCTGCCTTTAGCAGGAATAGGATAATCATTAAAAATTCGAGTGGTGCTGGAGACTCACCTAAAGTTCTACCCACTAATGAATTCATGATAAAAATTTTTCATCTTAATAACAGTCAAACAGAAAAGCAGCAATGGTGCACGCTTTTTACTTATTATTTTTAGATGCACCACTACAGATATTCAAATACCATTTACTTTTTCATTCGAATCATCTTCCGCAACGAATTCTTGCAATCTTTCGCCTAACAGTGCTTGCTCATCTTCGGTGTCACCTATTTGCTCATCCACAAAATCATCTGCATCTACCAATTCTTATTCAGCATTACCTATAAAGATTTTATGCGATGATTCTCAAGCTACCATGGCTTCGCAACATTCATCACCATCGCCATCATCATCCTTTTCGACATCGCAGTTTGAAGTAGTTATAAACTCTAGCAAAATGGAAACATATTTGTGATTGATTCTTGTAGAACGGAAATTTTTAATCATACGACTATTTTTAGGTTAGTAATCTGATTTCTAAAAAATTGATGTATTTGCAGTTACATATATGCTAATTGGCGAATTTGATAAATCCGATCTTGTCCATATTTCAGAAAAAACCCGTATTGGTGGATTTATATTTGTAAAAAAAGAAAGGTTTCCGGTCTCTCAATTGCGGCGTGCGTTATGGATTTGTTTAAAAGATTCTTTTATTTCATCTACTTTTACGGGTAAATTGAAAATTTCGTAAGATTTATCCTAATTGATATATACTTTAATTAATATAGAAATAACAGTGAGATATTGATAAATGAAAATTTCTCTTTTTTTACAAAAATTCACGAAAACTCTTATAAATAATTTTTTGACAACATCGACAGAAAATAAATCTTAATATTCGGACGATTATTCGTTTTAATCTATTTGATAGCGCTTTGTTTTCAAATAGTTTTGGATTTTTCGATTCCAAGTAAATAGTGATTTTTTTATTTTTTAGTAGATATTTTTGTTTTTCGACTTCAAATATTTGTATTTTATATATTAAAAATTGTAAATTTGTTAATTTTTGATTGGATCTATTTTTTTGATTTTCATTTATCGCTTGTGGGATTATATTTATTGCAATAAATGGCGATCGCAAATTAATTCATTATAACGCTTTGCTGATTATGGAAGTATAATTATATTATATTATAAAATGACGGAAAATATCCCGAAAATTGGATGAAACCAAAAAAGATAAATATTATATAAATTTGAAATTTAATTCGATTGTATCTATAATTATATTATATTTTAAAATAATTTTGTACGATAGGAAAAGAATTTTAAAATTTACTAACTTTAAGAGTTTAATTTTAAAAAGAATTTAAAAGATTTTGTTTCAAAGATTTTAAATTTTATTTCAAAAAATTATAGTATGCAAAAACAAATTAATTTTGAGCTGATTTTTTCCAACTTTTTATTTTCAACTTCTATGGACGGCGAAAGCGGTTGCATGCGGGTTGAACGCCTTGAAAATCATTCAATTGCCTTGTTTGAGCTGAGTATGACTTTGCGATGTATTTAGCAAATTTCTTGATTATTGTTCTAATTTTAAAAATTATTATTGTTTTAAAACCCAAAAAATTGGAATAAATAAAAGTTTTTGCAAGCGAAAGTCTTTTTTTGCATTTAATCGATTCGCCCACTTTCAATTAAAAATTTTAGTTAAATTTTTGACTTAATGTTGAAATATTTGAAATTTCAAATATATTTTACGATTTGTTATTTTCTTAAAAAATCTGGATACTACAGATTGGATTCAACCTCCTAAGGCATTGGCAGGAGCCTTTGTAATATCACTCATTTGCCTACTTGCTGGTCATTCATCGCAAGCAGCCTGCAATTTTTGTGTCACTCTTCCTGCAATCATCTTAAGTTGCAAAAAACTTACAAATATCAACACTACATTTATAAATTTAGTAAGTTTCTTAAAATATTGCAATAAAAAAAGCCATTAGCAATGTTAAGACAGCGATGTAGATGGACAATGTATTTAGTGATTTTGTGTAATTTTTTTAACTAAAGGAATTGAAAGCGAAATATAATCATCTTCTTTTGATAATATGCATTATTCCTGGTATGATTTCTTTCAATAACATTACTAGAATGAAGAGTTTTCACCATCTGAAAATACAAGATCTATAAGCGGGTCTCCATCGCCACTTCGATCTCATGTTTGATAACAGGCTTTTCCGCCATGGACAGAGAACATATATCACTCGCTCAAAGACCAAGGAAGCCCTATTCTATCATTCGATCATTCTGTTCTCGCCGTTTTTCTATGATTTTCGTTTCCTATTTACGTTATTTTGTTTTCTTTGTCAGTTACTTAAATTTAAAAAATTTGAATATTTTTAAGGATGATTTGCTGAAATTGCAGGAAAATATATTGATTTACTGGACTGTTCAAGGAATTTTTAATGTGCTTGACAATATTTTGTGGAAAGGACCTGACTATTTTTGTGTGAAATTCATTTTGCTGAGTTTGCTTTTTTCCTTCCTCACATCTGACAAAGCTAATTTAAAAAATAAGGATGAGGAAAATTCAGCAAATTTGAATGATGCAACAAGTCATTTACAGTCTATACTCACTACTGTCGACTACACTCAATATACCACTTCGTGTTCTGTGCAGGCAAGTTCTCAGCGAAAAATTAATTGAGAAGCATTTTATAAACAAGCATTTCATATGAGCAAGAATCTATTAGAGTAAAAATTTAAGTTCGAGTGGTCATTATTGAAAAAAATAAAGCAATAAAGCCCTATCTTAATTTGCTTAGGTAATGTTGGGGTACTTCTACTTTTATCCCTAAGCATTTCCTTAGCGAAGAGTAGTCTAATAATCAATGAAACGTGCTAAGCCAGAAATGCTGACGGCTGTTAGATAATTGATAATAACTAACTTTAGAAAACCCAAATATTAGGATAAAAACAAACAAAATAGAACTCTTTATACAGATACCGATGAATAAAGATAAAATAAAAAAATATAAAAATGAGCAAATTTAATCTTAAAAAATCTACCATTCGACATTCTGCGAATTCCATGAAATGCACTTAAAGAGTTTTTAATTTATAGGCCCCGAACGATTCTACAATTTTTGATAAAACAACGCTTTCATTTAACTCTTACATTTCATCGAAAGCCGCATCCGTACGGGAAGATGCTGGTGGTGGAGATTCTATGCGTACAATTGAAACGGTCTCGCTTTTATAATCGTTATCGTTATCATAAATCATATAACAATTAAGATGGTCAATGAAAAATTCCAAATTTTCAAATTCTAAATTTAGGACTTATACAGCACTAATTCGGTGACTGATATTGATTCGTTATGCTCATCTGCTACTTCTGATATTATCAGTGATCTATCGATACGAACAGCGAATAATAACTGGTTATCGAAGAGGGATGAAAATCAAGTAAAAATAATATTTTTAATATGAATTAATTTGAACATTTGTGGCTAATGATTAATTAATAATTACTTTTCTCTCAGATGTGGAACTTTGGTTAAATTTCCTTTTTAAATAGTATTTAAAAACTAAAATTTAGATAAATATAATGGTACCATGCTCAAATGAAGAAAGCTCCTTTCGAAATTCGATAAAGCTATTTACAAATCCATCGTATGAGGTTTATATTTTTGCTTATAGTGCTTTAGATTCAGTCATTTTGTTGATTTTGTTGACTCATCTTGCTAGAATTTTACAATAAGGCAGTCTAAATATTTATCATATCATTAATTGATTGATTAAACGTCCAATCCTAAGCTGAATGAGTGGAACAGGCTAAAAATATTCGAAATCGCTTTATTAAAATTTCATATTTTTATTTTTTATCATTTTTTTACGAGGTTTATTTCAGTATTTTATAGATAATTTTCAATGTGCCATGTAAAAAGCCAGTTCCATTAGTAATTGAAAACCATTACAAACATGCAATAATGTGGACTTTGAAAACAAATGCAGTAGAAAAAATAACTGGATTTCCGAATCATGGAATTCTTCAAAGTGGTGATATCGTTTCCGTAAGTTTTGCGATGAAATCATGTTTCAATATTTCGTCAATTCGACAAAAAATCGAATTCTAGTGTATGAAGATGAGAAAAATTAAAGGGCAATAATTTTATTGCTTGGATTGGATTTCTTACGAATCATGCATCATATGTGTCGCTCGATGGCTAATGATAGTTGATTCAGTCAAGATCTGTGCTGCAGATTATTTGTGCTATATTCTCTATAGATTAATAATACCTTTGTAATAAAGACAAAAATAAAATAAATTCATCGAATCATTCTTGCTGATTTAAAGATATTCCAGAGTGAAGCATTTATTTATAGGTGGAAATTTCTTTGGTTGGTGATCCGGCTAAATTTCACGGCGAAAATGACCGTTTAATAATTGACTACGATCTCGCCGATGCTACAATCGAAAATTTTAACCAATCTACCATGCACCGAAAGAAATTTTATCACCGACGAAAAGGATTGAAAGTTACATATAAAAACTAATTTGCTGGAAAATATTCAACAAAATCTCCGTTAATTGAACTCAAATCGATCAATCGAATAAACTATCAACTATTTTGCCGAAGTATTACGGCGAAATATTAAATTTTTTTGTAATCTTTTTTGCAACAGTGGCTAAATAAAGAAAAAAATTATATTGAACTTAGCAGTACCACTTATCTCTTAGGTTATAAAGTCCCATTCAGGTGCCTCAGGGGTAAGGTTACTTGGCGAATAAAAAACGAATGAGCCAAAGAGCCAAGGACATTTGTCCCACAATTTTTTAACTATTAACGAACTAAGAATTAAATCAGAAGAAACTAAACAACACAGTTGAAAAAAATAAAAAGAAAATCATTCACAGTTGGTAGGCCAGTCATTAATCTCCGGTTGACAGGAGTTATTTTAAAATTAACGTTGCTGCTTCTTTGATTTAAAGTTTTCTTCATAATTAGCTTCTTATTTTTTTAAGTTTTTTGTCCTAACTATTCGCTTATTTATCTAATTTTCTTTCTTGCAAAATGTTTTTACTGCAAATGATATTGGGCTAATTTTCGTATTATTCTAACAACTCACACCATTACTACTATGGTCAGGCTGACTGCAGTAGCCACGAGAATAAAACACCTCTTCAATGTGATGCAGTTCTGGAAATGATATATCTGAAAATAGAAGCAACTCATTTTTTACCATTTAAGCCCTTATATCGCTGGACCCTTTGTCTTAATAATATCATTCGAGATTTTAATTGAATGGTAATTAATTTTAATTATATTACTTCGCTTCTGATGCCATCCATCACGCGACTTGAACCTTGTTAATTTATTTTATTGATTATGAAATTTTAGATTTGAAATTTTAGAAAAAAATCAAAATTAATGAGCATGAAATTGGTCCGAATAATCTTTGCTATTTTGAAAAACGAAACGATCGTTCTAGAGAAGATATTATATAACTTTTCCTATAAAATATAACTTTTACAAATGCAAAAAAACAATTAGTTAACGTTTTAAAAAATAATAAAAACAAGGGAAGTTTTAGAAAACTTATTAAAGAATTAGCTGCTCAAAGTTACAAAGTGGTGGTAAGAAATTGAAAATTAATTGTTTATTTATTTAAATTAGCAAAAAAAACTTTCAGTCGAAATTTTCAATAGAATCTATTTGAATCATAGTCCATGAAACGGCCGATGCACAAGGTTTTATGCCAGCAGAGCGCCAAACGCCGAAAGCAAAAGGCATAGGGCGGTTCAGTGGGTTGTTCCTCGGTTTGGAGCTTCGATGCTGTGTTTTAAATTCGGAATTAATGAACCCGATATCCAAAGATCCAGGCTGTGCTAGCGACTCACCTGTACTTTTATCACCACGTGATTTTCAAAATTTATTGGTTCTGATAAGCCGTTCTTAGAAAAAAAATTTTATTAGTGCTTTAATGTTGTACCATTATTTTGTCGTCAAGCACGATAAAATTCTCAGAATGTTACAATAGCTCATTTAACAATTTGCAATTTGATATAAGTTGATCTTTTTTCAGGATAGTGGTGCTCTTATAAGCACCATATTTTCCAAGAGAGAGAGTTGGTGAAATTGTAAGACTCTGTGAAAAAAGCTGGTTAGAAAGATATTGATGAGAAAACTCCTGGCAAGGAAATGCCAAAAAATATCGTTTTATTTCATTTCTAGTTATCAGATTTTATTATTCATCACATATCTGTCAATATCAATTAAATGCTTTTTCATTTTTGTTTTCTGTATTTCGCTTCAATTTGTGTATGGATATTAGGTAGAATTCATACTTTCTCTGATAGAAATCTTATATTCTAGAGCTCATTAGAGATTTTATTTATCAGGAATATATATTTTAGTATTTGAAATGCGTTTTATATTGATAACTTTCTCATAATATAAAGATGAATGATTTTTTTTTACTTTAAAACTTATTTGCATCCAACAATTATAATATTGAAGGAGAATTAATATTAATTTAAAGTGATTTAAATAAATAAATTGATAAATAAATAAAAAAGCAAATTAATTCAAAATAAATAAATTTAAGGCTATTTTTTATCTGAGGCCAAATTATTTTAATTCTGATTTTAAAGCACCATTAAATGTGAGAAAAATCTTCCTAAAATTTAGATTGCCCAAAAACCTCTCATGCAAATTCTCGCACTGCAATATGTAAATGAGTCTTTTAAAAATTAAATTTGAAGGCAGCATAAATCCAACCACTAAAGTTAGATCGATTTGTATAAAATATAAATGCCCTAGATTTTATACATCGAATATTTCATATATAATTGTTTTTATATACCGTTTTAAGGCCCACAGTGGTTGTTTTTTGTTAATGGATAAGACCCATATCAGCTGATGCAAGCGCTAGGCCTCATACTACGAATTTTTTAAACGATATATAGATTAACTAATTTGCTCCCAGAAAAAGGATCAAAAAAAATAATTTATTTTTGAAAAAAATATTAGTATTATGACATTGTTTCATAACAGCGAAAGCGTTATTGCTATAGCGTTATTGTACAAATCATGGTAGTTTTAATTTGGATATCGCAGTTAAATGAATGAACAAATAAGTAAAGGAGTGAAAGGCCATTTCCAGTTATATTTACCTAGGAAAGATTTTGCTTCAGAAGTATAGCTCTCTGGTATCGCTTGGACTGGCCATGGACAGATTTATTCCTGCTGGCAGTAAGCAGGGAGCCCTGAAATGAGAGCAACAAAAATTTTATTAATGTAATGATGAAATAACAAATTCCATTTAGAGCAAATTGAAGTATTCCGCATCTCCTTACCTGCAACTTCTATCCGCTACCACCTTATTCAAAAACTAGATTCATTTCTGAAAACATCGGTCCTTATAAGAACTATGTTTATATGAAAGAATTCCGCACATATTTATCAATAGGACTACAATTATCTGTCAATGGTTATTTATATATTTCATTTCATATATATTTCATAAGTCGCATCTATTTTAAGTTGCCATATTGAAATCGGCTTGAAGTATTACAAAAAACCAGCGAATAAATCGATGACCATTACTAATTCCATATAAAATAATAATGATAACAGAAAAAAAATCGCGAAATCCAAACGATAAATTGGACATCTTTTACTTCAACTTATTTTGTTGACTAATGCTTCATTATTCATTGATAGCAGCTGCTAAATGAACCACTTCAGCAATTTTATCGAATGTTTAAATTGACGTTCAAAATTAAAGCTATTCTAAGAGTATGGATTGGGAGTTGGTAAAAGAGATTTTTATTGTGCAATTAAACCTCGCTTAATAGCAGTTATGACATAAAATGATGGCATAATTTGCGTCATTTCTGAAAATTATCTTTACCACTGATAATCCATCTTTTTCTTCATTCTAGAAGAAAAAAAATCCGCTATTGATTGAGAAAAAATAGTGGAAATTATCTTTATCATTTTATCTTAGTCCAGTTATTTTAGATTTTAACCCGTTCTTTCGAAAAGAAAACTCTTTAAGAAACCATATATAATCTAGTAATTTTTCACTATATTTTATTTCTATAACACACCGCAAAAAGTTCGCATTTTCAATCATCTCATCATATTTCGCCAGAAGGTTAATATGCCAAAATGCCTCGCGCAGCCGACCGTATTGCCAATCGCCTGAAGAATCGAAATTTTTGTCGCCCAGATGCTCACCGTCTAAGCATTGTCGTTGTACAACCGAGTTCTCCATCAAACTTATCCAATGAAAGGTAATTAAGAAGTTCAAAAAAAGTTGCATAAAATGATAAATTATTAAAAATTTGAAATTTAACTGTGGTAAAAGATTTTCAAGATATAAATCTTAATTTTCATCTATTTTTACAAAAATTTAAATTTTAAATTGCCATTATCATTCATTATTAAACATCAAAAAAAAATATTTTTCTAACATCTATCGCAAATTTTGGTGAAATTTCTTGTAGATTCATTTGCAGAAATGAGACGATTTAGAAATAAAAAATTTTGACTGAAATCGCTGAAACTATTAATCATAAAATAAAGTAAAAATTGCTAAATAATTATTAATTATTACTAGAATTATTGTAATGTATTAGCATTATTATTATTATTACTATTATTATTATTATTATTATTATTATTATTATTATTATTATTGTTACAACGAATCTTTCAGCGAGCCCTTAGCAAGCGATAGATCCGTATTCTCTGTAGTTCATGGAGATGGAAATGATATTGTGATCGACAGCGATAAGCAAATTGTAATGCAAGATGAAGTCGACATGTGCACAATACTTCATGAAGCCAACATGGATGGAGTAAAACATTTACAGTCTAAGAATCGCATAACCAGGTTGCTATTTATGTAGAATTTTAAAGTCGCTTTTATGATTGTCATTGACACTAAAAGAATCAAGTAGTGCAGAAATAAGGCAAAGAATAAAGATCCTCAGTAATCTGGATTATTTTTCTTTGGTAAAAATGGCTATAATTATCGTGAAAAATCGAGAATTTCTAATTTTTGGAACTTTTAATCTTGCGAGAGATAGCAGTTTTTGATTGATTTCCTGCATTAAATCAAAATTAAAGATGGCAAAATAACAATACCAAATAAAATAACAATACCTGATAACTTAAAGGTATGCGTGGGCGATTATCATCTTGATTTTTGTATGGATGGCATGTTTTCAAATATGGTCACAAATACAAATGTATGTAAGAACACCAGTGGCTACAAATATTGAAGCACTTTATCCAAAAAAAATATTATTTCCAGCAGTTGCAATCTGTAACAACAATCAATTCAGGTGAAAACAATTTCAATAATTTCATAAATGCACATTGGTTTCTGGAGACAATATTTCCATTGAAAAAATTTTATCCAGAACAGCGTTGTACTGGTTTCTAACCATTTGAAGGGAGAATAGCTAAATGGCTTATTTCTTCGACTGAGGATGGGTTCAATCCATATGTCTTAATGAGGGAAAATTTCATTGATTATTGACGTTAGACGCTTAAGTGACATTCCTATGAAAGGTTTTCATCATAATATTCGATTGAGCTAAATAAATAAAAAGTGGCGAATATTCTTAAACGAAGAAGAAATAGTTCAGAACAAATATAATAGAGGCGAAACATTTAAATGAAAAAAAAAATTAGAAATTGCACTGAAATCAACATGGAATGAAATCTGAAACTTCAAATTCCTCAATATATTTAATTTATCGCTTAAATTTTATATTTGAATTTTTAATTTAAATTAAAATTTATAATTTTTATTTCATTTTGTTTCATCGTTGTAGATTGACTTACATCACCGGCCCAACAATACAGAACCGGCGATCAAAAGCACGCATCAATATATCGTCAACCATCAGCGCTGAAAATAAAACTGTTTTCGAAAAAGCTTTAGAAAATGCTTGGGATATGGATGCGGTGAAATTTTTAAGAAATGCTGCGCACTGGAAATCTAGAATGGTTCTAAGGTGGGACCAACGATTTTAACCAACGATTCCACTTATAATTCCACTACATAAATCTTCAAAGCTTTAAGAATTGGGATGTCCTAACATGCTTGCTTTAGTGGCCTTTTCAGGTATTTGGGCCGTAATACATCGCACAGCAAATTAGTTTATTCCCAGATGGTGCATCCTAGAATTGGTCTGACGGTATCCGAAAAACGACTTAAGTTGGGTCCAATATTCACCGGTCATTTTAAAAATTTTTATCATTGAGATGTAATGATAATTCTGCTTGAAATGTCTTTAAAATCCAGTTTCCTGAAATACCAAAGAATTCTGGAGGACATCGCATTTTGCAAGCAGTTAGCTTTGCATTCACTCGAACTATGTCTAATCTGTAGAGATTACCATTTTGTTTGAAATATGAACGTCTATCTAGTAAAAATCTTCCAACTGTGAGTAACACATTAATCTGGTTGACGATTCAAAGAATTTCAGGAATTCACATATCTTCTCCGATGCCAGAAGTATGCATTAGTAGCGAAAAGCTTCTGCTCCACGACAAAACAAAGGCTCTTTACTGGACCACTACCCTACATAATCTATTGTAGTAGTGTAGTACTTGTTGTCCCCACTGATTCTAATCTTCTCTGACCATGTTTTCTTATGGGAAAAATATTGTAGCAGTTGAGGTTCTGCGAAAAAACCAGAAAACTTCGGCAAGCGATGCAAATGTGGCACTTGATTTGTTATCATCCTTTATCTGTTTTTCGATTTCCATAAGCATTCTAATTCCCCATGCAGCTATGGCCAAGATCTCGCAATGTGTGAACACATCAATTAATCAGTTATCAGTTATCTACCTTCATTTACAAATTGAACCACCATTTTAGCAGTCACCTTATTTGCCTTAGTTCGAGTGCTCATTTCACTCCGATATTTAATCAAATATTTTTTATCGTGGTTAATTCGATATTTATCGCATGCACTGCGCAAAATAAGCGAATAAATTTGAAGATACCAACTTAACTTTTCCACAGAGTTTCAACTTATTCAGTTCTACATTGAAAGCAAATAAATAAAAATAAATAAATAAATAGACGAATAAAAAATAAAGTGTAAGTGACGCTGGGACCAATACTTCTCCCGCCCGTCGCTTTGGTAACAAACTTTGGTTCTTGAAATACTGAAATACTGTGGCTAATCAAATCACCAACAAATGGTGAATGTGGTTGGGAAAAATAGATGAAAATTGAAATGAAGGAATTATGTCATAGTAAAGGCAGATATATAATTCGACACCATTCAGAATTTATTTCGAAGCCCTAAAAAAAATTTCATTTTCGTTACACGAGACAAAAAATATTTCGAATATTTAAATATTTCGAATATTTTCGAATATTTAAATGAGAGTAAATATTCACTTTTTTTTAGTTGCATATGGCCAAATGGATCAAAATGTAAATCGACAGATTTTAAGGCAGTTTGGACGCTAAGCGGTCTCTGTTGGGCTATAAATACTGATTCAGAAAATCCACATTATGTTACAGCAAGTGGTTGGCTCTTCATTTCATAGGTTCTTATTTGTGACTAGTGATAGTGAAAATTTAAGAAGGAAATAATTTTTTTAGGTAGTGGCAATGGTCTGAAGCTATTATTGAACATTGAAAAATATGAACGGATAGAGAGTTGTTCACGATATTTTAAAACGAAGAATCTTCCAGGTTTGAAAATTTTAATCTATAATCAAACGGAAATTCCGGCATCGTCATTTGGTGGCGTAAATGTGCCACCAGGATACACTATGGATATACCTTTCAGAGTACAAAAAGTAATTCTTCCAATCCTTTTTAATTTTTTAAAACCGATTTAATTTTTTTCAGAACATGTCATTGAAACATGACCATTTTTCGTAAATTTTGAACGGAATAAATCTTAATTTGAATAAGTTTTACTGCAAATAAATTTTATTGCATTAATTCGCTTAAATTAAATTAATATATTTGATATATATTTGATAAAAGCCATGAGACCATTAAATTGTTTCCTTATTAGAGATTGAAATATGCCGATGCAGGCGGCTGTGTTCGAGAGGCTGACGACCAAAAATCCGGAACGATTCCGTTCGATCATGAGGACAACATTGGTACATGTCCAATAAGAAACTTCTTACGAATTATTGAAGCTCGGTGTAATTGCTCAATGATACGAGCTTATAATAATAGTGCTGAATGTTAGTTTCCTGCAACACTTACATAGAATTTATTCCAAAGATTTTACTAATTTTATTGAGAAATATATTATATATATTTATATATTATTAAATATATTAAATAATATATATAAATTTATATATATTAAATATATTCAATAAAAAGAATGAAATGGACAACATACGGCACCATAATTATGCTTTTTCAGGGAAAATAAGATAATTATTGGTTTTTTTTTGTGTCATACCTTCGAATAATGAGAATCTATGAGAATCCTCGCCAACTTTAATCGACTTATTTCAGCCATATATAATTTTTGTAATGTGGATCAATATTTCCATTGTGTGTTGCCAACTATGGAATCAGATCATAAATCCACAAGAAACAGCAAGTGTTTACCGGCATGCAGTAATGTTGATTTTATTGCTTGGCAAGATATGAATCTTTTACCCAATAATATTTTACCAAATCTTATTGATACTGAAGAAGAAGAAGATGTCGATGATGTGAATGATGATTTCGATACTGAATATGAGGCATGTTACAAAAACCATTTCCAATTTGGCTGACTACGTTGACATTGACTACAGGATTCATACGCTTCGAGTCAGCGAATTACTTGTGAATAGAAATCCGAAAACTACCCGATTTTTACGGATTTCCTCCTCCAAATGGGAGAAAGCAGAATTATAATGGTCAACCCCTGTCGAGTGAGACATTTGGCCATCATGCTGTTAATTTGCCCCAAAATTATTGAAAATAAACACGAAAACGGAATTATTTCGAGTCTTAATGTATAGTCTGCTGATGGAGTTTTCTAAAATTCTTGCAAAATTCAAAATTTCGGAGATTTCTTATTCTTTTTTTAAATTTTTTCTCTTACCAATCACTTTTTGCCATTAAATTAAATGTTTTTTTCAGTTAAAATTGGTGAGTTAAAAATTAAAATAATAATTTTCAATTAACATATATGAGTTTTTCAATTTAGAGCATAGTTGGTGCAGCGATGTCCGAGTGGTTAAGGAGTTGGACTTGAAATCCAATGGGCTCTGCCCGCGTAGGTTCGAACCCTACTCGCTGCGCGTTGTTTTTCTTTTCTAAAATTATTAACGAAATTTACTTTTAATGCAATAATATGTTTCCTTTTAGTGGTTATTATTCTCAATAAAGTAGAAAATAAAAGAAATTAATGATGCAGGAAGGATTAAAGTGATTCAGAATATTCTATCCACGTGATTTGGGAGTGGGGTGCTATTCTTGGTAGAGGAAAGTTGCTTTTTAAAAACCGAGTAGTGATGGTGGTGCAGGTATGATTCTATCGCCAATTATCTTCATAGCAAATGCAACCACGCCAAAGAGGCAGCGCAATTAATCTAATCAGAAATTGTCAGCCCTAATCTCTTTCTTTTGGCTCAGTTTTTATTTCAAATTCAAATCATTAACAATAAGGATTTCAGGAAAAACAATTTCACTCAAATAAATATTTCAAAAATATTTGATTTCCACTATGAAAATTTATTATTTAACTTATTAAAATTTATTACTTTACTAAAATTTATTATTGTTTATTCTATTCGAAAAAACAAAAAAATACGAAAAAAAAGTTGTTTAGACTCATTACATTGTGCTGTTTACTGAGATAAAGCAGAGTTATTTCGTCACAGAGATATTTCGTGATAGTAGTACAAATGGATGGATCTTCTACCGTACTACCGATTAGATTTTTATGACAACCCTTAACTTTTGCTAGGAATAGATGCTTGACATTTTTCTAGAATCTTAAGATTTATTTCAGATGAATCAAAATGAAAAGCTTGATGCTGGTGAAACATTTTATTGCGAGGAATATCGACTTCTTAGTGAAGAACAAGTAATTTGATTAAAATCATTAAGGTTGAACAGTTGAATAAATTTATTGCTTTACTTGGCAATAGAAATAAAGGTAAATCATCAGCATCACCCGAATTTTTGTTCAGGTTTACTCCTAAGGGGAACCGAACTTCAGCATCGGCGCTCCCAATTGAGCAACAATCCACTGAGCCATTCTATTCCCATTATACTGCGATTAGAGCAGTTTTAAACTATATTTAGGTGAAACAAATCAAAAGATCCGCGCATCGAGCATTTGAAAAGCAGTCTCGATATCAAGACGATATACAGCTTAGGACGAAACGACTTATAAGCAAATTGCGTGAAGCAACATTCAAGTAAATTCTTTCTATTTTTGCAATTCTTTCTGTTTTTTTGCATGAATTTTTTTATTTTCCGTATAGGCAAGTGGTTAGGGTCCGCTGGCTAGTATGATGAGAAATTAGTCACTTGGCATTAGAAATGCAGATGGTTTGCTAAGATCAACTGGATTTTTTAAAATAGGCCTACTCTGCCAGCCAAACGGTCTTAATTCTGACTCTCGAGACCCTAATCTGGACAACAGTTACGGCTATATCTAATATTTTCGTAATTTTACTGACCTTCAGTAAAAAATTTAAAAAATTTTATTTTTTTCTCCTATTAGAAATTTTAACGAAAGGCAAAGAACATAAATCAGTCAAAACAACGAGAAATATCAAATCTCAACTGAATGTACTTTTTTCCTCTAATTTCTATCGCTTATTGAAAAGATTAATTGATCTCGGTTGGGGTTGGAACGATTCGACATACATCGGTGCTTATCAACGTCTTAATGAATCTGTTCAATGCTACGGCGAAATAGCGGTTGATCATTCGGATGTAATTGCTGGAATTTTAAGTCCTCCGTTCGTTAAAGATGAAGTACGAATTACGAATCTTTATCGAGTGAGTCACACAATTTTCACTGAAATATTATTTAAAAAAAGATTCATTAAGAGGAGCATGAATTTTTTTTCTGCTTTTTTAAATTTTTTATAGGAAATTATGAAAAATCTTTTATTTATTATTATTAATGCGATTTATCAATAGTTAATAATGCAGGAAAATGCAGCCTTCTTTCGATGGATAGAAAATCTTTTTTCAGCTGATATCACCAGAGGAATATAAAGCTGATCGGAATCGATATACGACGCTGAATGATTTGAAGGAAAATTACGGCGAACAGGTTGACCAATTAGTGAAAAATATGCAAGAAATATCGAATATAATCAGCAAAATTTGGAAAATTTACTCTCGCTCAACATTCAAATCTACAACGGGTTCAGGTTTAGAAAGAATGGATCTAATATTACAACTTGTCAAACAAGTATATCTTTCCATCCTTCGCTTATTACTTGCTCTTCATGGCACATATGGAAGAAATTGGGTGAAAAATGCAGTCGAGAACTATCATATTAATAAAATGGCACTAACCATTCGCGTTATTTCTCTATTCATGAAACTTTTGTTAAGGAGTCAAATTTGACAATAGAAGTACGGATGGCATCAACATGTTTTCTTGGGGACAGGCTTATTCTTGCGCTGGAGAAATTGCACTGTTGCTTCTCAGTTTGAGATAAAAAATATTAAAAATTAGGAAATATTAAAAATTTAAAAAAATTCATGAATTAGATATTAAGATTTAAAAAGGTTGAATCAACGTATTAAAGTTCAACATGGATATTTCCATGATATTATAGGAAAAATGAGTAATAATATGAGTTTTTCAGTATGAAGATGGTAGATTACAGAAGCGAGCTTGGGCTGAGAAAATGCAGTCGAGAAGTATGAGACATTTTTTCGAAGAAGATTTTTACGAGGTGTTGTCCTTAATTACAAACAAAAATAATATTACTATAACAAAAATAATAATAAAATATTATTTATTATTTTTTTTATTTACTTTTATTTGTTATTATTATTTATTATTATTTACTTTTAAAATATTATTTACTTTTATAAATCCATTTTTTCTTATGAAAAATATTAAAAATATTGTTCGCTTTCGTAAAATATGTATAGACTGGAAAATTAGCAAGAGATCATCACCTAAAAGTGTCCACAGATATGTTGGTGACTTATTAGCCAATGTCTATGCTTCGTCGGGAGGAACAATGAAAATAAAAGGACCAAATGGCTCGATGAGTTGTTGCTCAGCTGTTGAATTTCCATTGAAGCGCCGATACTGAAGCTCCATACCTGGCAGATATGAACCTGCTTTTTAGCAATGCTTTCAGATAGTGATGGTTGATGGTTGATCTATTTATAATTCTACCATAAAATTCCCTTGTAAAATATCTAATTTATTTATTTAGTTGTTAGAAGATAGATCTTAACCAACAATTCTCGTATAAAAAAAATTGCCATCAATTTCTGTTCCCTCTAACTCTCCAGTGACTGTTAAGACCCATAATAAATCGGTAATATCAGTAATAGAGCTATTTTGTGCCATGAAGTCATATAGAAATAACTTGAATGAGTTTACGAGTTTATCGTCTTTATTCGATTTCAATTTTAATGGTTTTTAATGATTGCTCTTTTCTATCAAGCAGGAATCAAGCTCATAATCAACTTAATCAACTTAACTAGCCATTCATGTAATCTCTGCATGACGTAAAAACGATTTTCAACAAAAACGAATCAAATCGAACCACAGAAAGAAACCAAATTTATATAAAATTAGCGATCTTTAATTCAACTTTACTTAAATTTCTGCATAAATACCATAAATATTCAGCGGATTTTGTTCATTTAAATTTATCTATAGAATTAATACAAATGCGAATATTTCAGGGTTGGTACAATCCAACTATTAAAGATTTTGAAGAAGACATATTACATACCATCGAAGAGATTGAGGATAATGACCTACCAAATTTTTTAAAACTGCTTCATAATAAGTCAGGAATACAGGTGAACTTTTCGCTTTTTTTTTCAGCAAATTTTCCACTACTTAAACTTAAATGAATATTAAAGAATATTAAAGAAATTTCTAGATGGGTTCATTATTATATTTTGGAAATATTTCTGCTGAAAATGATGGAAAATTTTTTGCGTTCGCTGAGTCGCTGATAAACTGTACAATGACCCATGTTCGCAATGAGACTGTTCAACTTCTTAAATCTTTCAAAAAATATGTTCATGAATTTCAAGTTAGTTTTCGCATTCACACATAAAATGCATAAAAGCAAGTAGTTAAAATACGTCTTTTTTGCCAATGGTAGAAAGCAGCCCAGCAGCACCACTCGCGCGTGTTCAAGAAATATTGTCGTAAATTGTACAGTGATTAGTTTTAGCTGAATATTTTTAACATCTTCATTTCAGTCAGCATATTCAAATTTATTCAAGAAGGAACTTCCAAATTACTTGATTAATTTTGATTTCGACAGCGATTTTGTTGAGTATGTTCGTAAAAACATTCATTTTAAACAATTTTACATGAATCTATTTAAGAGAAACGGCTGTTAGCCGATTTTTCTTTTTATAAGATTTTTCATTGACCTTATCCCTTATAAACCTTCGCAACTGAATTTTAGACAGAATTTTGCAATGGTTAATATTTTCCTGCATAAGATGAACGTTGAACTTTGGACACAGCATAGTACTTACAGTATATGGAGCCTTGCTTGTAAGTGATTTTTTACTCAAGCAACTGATGGTGCAAAAAAAATCAAACGTGCTCCCATAATTTTTCGCTAAATTAACTGATGCATTTTGCGGTCAAAAAATAATCAATCTTATTATTGTGCAGAAATTTTCGGTTGCAATTTCACATACAATAAACAGCAATCTTCGCTTTTTTATAATTTTTTTGAATTAAAAAAAATTTCAATATATCCGAACAATTCATCATTTTAAAGAAAGAACACTTTCTAATTCAAACAATAGGGAACCAATTCACCATCTATAATCCTCGTTTAAAATTTAATTTTACACGTTTCCAGGCGATATCGGTGGAACTCTCGGCTTATTTCTTGGTGCTAGTCTACTAACGATTATCGAATTGCTATATTCATGTTTTCATTATAGTCTGCCAAACAGAAAATGCCAAAGCAAAACATTTTGGTATTTTCGTTGCAAAAAATTAAATTAAAGGGAAAAAATAATAAAAAACTATGCATATTGCTGAAGAGTTTAAAAAATACGATGATTGCCTGCTTGCAAAAAGTTCCTATGAAATTTATGAAATTTTATTTAAGGATTATACCTCGAGTAGGAATCGCAAAATTAAATCAAAGATGGCTGAAGAAGAAATCACAAGAAATTATAAAGAAAAAGGATGAATTGGAAGAATCAGCAGTCGAGAGTGGACTATTAGAAAATTATGAAGGGGAAGCCTACGGACAGTTAAATCTAAATACACCACATTTTTGCAATGTCACAACATATAAATTTCCACATATAGATGATAAGGAATCCGAAAAAAATGGTTCCAGCATATTACTTGAATCGTCATATCACGCAGATCTTATGAACGAAACTAAAAGCATGGATAGCAGTGATTATTCGCCATCGACGTTTTATGATACTGATGTACAAGAATCAGATCGGAAAACTTCAGACACTTCTATTTCCCATGCTGCACTCTTTTTACCAAAAGAAGAAAGACAAAGCACAGTTTAATTTTCATTAGATTGCACATTTTATTGTTGTTTTTCCAAAATAGATGGATTTGTTGCATCTTCTTGGATGTATTGTATCCTTTCAAAATGAATCTGAAAAGCTAATATAATCAATCAAAAAAGTTTTTTGGATTTCCCATCTATTTTTGGAAATTCGCTAGCAAATCTGATATGATTTTATGCAAATAAAAATCATTCCATTATTACTTTAAATATCAGTGGCTGCGTCTAATATTTGAGGAAAAATAATGTGGTAATTGTTGCACTGCATGCATGCACCAACTTCACCAAATTTTATTAATGCTTATGCAAAAAGTAAAGAAATCTACAAAGAAAGATGTTTTTTTGAGAACGTTTTAAATACGTTAAAACTGACGTTTTAAAAATGAAGATTTTCGTTTCATTTCGCTTTTGGAAATAGTTCGCTGGGGATTGAATTTCTCGGCCAGTTTTGCCACTTCTCAAGCTGAAATAGTTAAAATCTTAAAGGCAAATAAATTTGTATTTATTTACTAGTCTAAAGCTCCATCGAGATTTACAGCATCAATTTGTGGATATGAAATCGTCCAGGAAGCTTTTTTTTAGTTCATTTAAAGTAAATGAATTGTGTTAACTCATTCTGAGTCTCACTATAATGCATTTTCAAAAAAAAAGAATTTTCGTTCGCAGAAAAATTTTAAGGAAAATTTGGCAATCGTCACCAAAAATTATACGCACTACTGAGCTAAACATCGCTATATGGTTGCGTCGGGCAACCAGATTTATTGCTTATCGGTTTTACCTATTAAATCATTCGTGTTTACAAATTCAGATTCTTCTAATTTTATTATTTTAATTTACTTAAATTTTTTTATATTTTTATTAACATATTTACACTTTTAGTACTCGTTCAACTGGAAGAACCTTCTTATCTATCGTTCCTGGGAAAAAATGTCTATAATTGCTTCGTCTGGAATGGCTCTTAACAAATGTTTTCCAGTGTGTCGAAAAAAACAAACTGTAATGCAGAAACAAAACGAAAGAAAGTTAATAGAAATGAAAGTTAATAGAAATTAAATGAAAGTTAATAGAAATTTGATTCATTTTCTGTCATTTATTGTGGGTAAAATATATTGGATTAATAAAGTCAGACTTCCAAGTATCATCGAGCAACATGCGTATCTTATGTAGAGGTTGATGCATGAATGGGCAAACGAGATCTTTTTCATGTCAACCTTGGAGTGCTCGATATTTCGACAATCTTAATTCAAATTTAGCTATAGCGTCCGCCATTTCTGCTTAATCTCGTTCCACTAGCTGTTTATTAGAAAGAGCAATTTGGAGAAAGAAAAAAAAAGAAAGAAGTGAGTCGTACAAGTGCTACCTGGATTTTTAAATGATAGGCTTATTCTGGTAGCCACAAGTTCTAAACCCTAATGCTCGAGACGATAACAACTAATCGGTTAAGACCAAGAATAACTCTTGTTGAGGGCAGCACTTGAATTGCATAAGATTGCCGACTTTTCCTTTAAGTTGATCAGTTATTTATTTGCCTTTTTTTAAATTTTTATGATAATGTTATGGTTAACTACGACCATATAAAAATGTTTATAGTTTTTAAGAGATAAATGATAAATGAGTAATAAAATGTTTTTATTAAACTGTGTGTTTAATATTCTTTTTCATTCACTGAACTATAGAGATGAAATTGGCTGATGCGAAAATAATTTCTGAGGCTGAAAATGAAAACAGCTGACTTAAATCAATTTGTGAACACAATGGTTCAAGGTGCTCGATACTCTTTGATTCGCTTCAGAGGGTTAATTTACACAGTTTTATTAGAAATTTTTACTTTTATCTAGTATCCACCCGATTATAAAATTATTATAAATAAATTTCTCTTATTAATTCGATTTTAAAGTGATTCGTTTAGAATTAGTTCATACCAAACAAAGCAAGCAAAGCTAATATGTAGGTTGGAAGTAAGCCATTATCCAGGCGGCTATCCTTCCCCCAATGACCAAATAAAGGAAAAAGCAAACCCATGTGCTTCTTTATGTTAGCTTCTTTAGAAGCTCTCATTTGCCAAAAGAAGAATGGTCTATTATGTATTATCATTTGATAAGATTATTTTTGCTTGAATTTTATTAAGAAATTTACATTACAATTAAAATCTCCACTCTTCTATCAATATTTTGGAATGAATTATTCGAAATTTTTTCTTTTACATTTTTCGTCGATTGAATTTTGAATTTTAACAAAATTTCGAGATATCTGCTAATGAATATTTAAATTTTTTTAGATGAGTTTAGCGCCGTTTTTTGATAAAGCACCAAGCATAATCAACAAACCAGATGGTTCAGTTCTTTTCGAGTGCACTTGTAACGCTAACCCCGAACCTACCGTCAAATGGTATTTCAAGGTGAATTTTCATAGGTGAATTCAAGAAAATCAAATAGACTACGTTTTCTATCACATAGGAGATTAAAATTTTACGAATATAATTCCTATAAAATTTAGCAAAAAATTGAAAATATAAAATGGATAAAATAAACCAAATACGCCTTATCCTCCTAGCCAAAGCCATTAATCTAGCCAGTAACCGTTCCAAAAAGGAAATTAAAAGTGACTCCTTGAAATCATGCTAATTTATAGGAAGTTTACCGACATTTTCCTATATCTTGTAGGAATATTTATTTTATGTCGCTTTTTTTCAAGTCGTTGAATCCATTCTTGAAACCAACTTAGAAGCAATATTTGTAATCTTATCATACTAAATTACAATAAAAACTACGACAAATACCGCAAATACCACATTCAGTTTATTTATTCCTAGAAATATGTAGAGCAATTTCATGGATTACAGGATAAAGAATTAACTGGTGACCGCTATATTATGAAAGTAAAGAAAACGGTTGGTAAATATGCATGCACAATGACAATGAAGGTGAAATTTATTTTTTAAATATATATACCTTTATATCAAATTATTAAATCTTAAAAACCACGCGGACATTCGATATTTGCATTGCGCTGATGAATGAAACCTCTGACATTTTTCGTTTTTTAATAAAACCATAAAATTTTATAAAATGAACACTATTATCCATATTTGTCTACAAATTTATGTGAAAAAAAAATCTCACCAAATATTCGTTATGCGCCAATTAAATATTTCGCACAACCTAATTGAAATATGCGATTCATAAGGCAAACTTAGGGCGAAATAGCAAAGAACCAATATCTCTAGCAAATATATTCTTTTGGGCAAATTTCCGCAGAATCTGTTTCCAAGCGAGCAGTTTACATGACACCATTTAGATTCTTCCTCATATATCTCCCTCACTTTCACATGGTGCTTGAATCTAGGCCAGCTGAGATCAAATATTTTTTACCCTATTTCTTTTCTATCATTTTGATATGTTGTGTCATGAAAAAAAGGGTCATCATCGCGATAGTACTAAAGAGGTTCACAAAAAAATATTAATAAGGTGCATTTGCTTCTTTTCGATAAATAAAATATTTTTTGCAGAATCCAACACTTCAGGATCAAGGAATATATAAAATCACTGCAACCAACAAGAATGGCAATCATTCAGTGGAACAAAACTATGTAATGTCATGTACAGCAAACGAAGTTTTTAAAACTCAATGATGTCGGTTAATTTCAGAATAGTGCATTGATTGTCGATAGTGGTAGATGTGAGTCGTCAGCATCACTCGAATTTTTCCAACAAGTTTTTCCCAATGGAATATTTCAAAAGCCATTATAAAATTTTAGTTGGTCTAAGTTATTCTGCTAATAAAAATCAAAAATTATGACCAAGAAATCTATTTTCATTGCATTTATAATTTTTCAATAAATCAATTAAATGGTTGAAATAAATAAAATGAAATGGTTAAATGAATTATTATTTGGTCATAACTTTTGATCACGAATATTTGGATTTTGATAAGTTCATAAGCACGTTGTCGCATATTATGTAAAATTGAAATTAGAATTAGGTCTACAAATTGGTCTGCTCGTAATGCATCGAAAACTGCAAAAGAGATTTAGCTTCAAAAAAATCGTGTTTAATCCAAACAAATTGCAAAAAAAAATTGATAAAACAATTCACTTGCGGAATAAATCTAATATTTATGAAATATTTGATACTGATGGGCACTAATATTGATATCATCATAATACCCATAATAATATGAAGTTACAACAACTTATTTTCTAAAATTTAATTCGAAATGAATGATCTAGATTAATTTAGAATCAAAATAATCAAAATAATAATCAAAAAATCAAAATTTGTCGCTAATCAAAATAAGCGACAAAAATTTTTAATATTTCTGATTTCTTGTTATTCTGCTACAAAAATTTGAAATCCTTACATAAACAACTTTACTTTAACGGTTAATCAACTTTTTATCAAACCTACGATAGAGATAACATTACCATTTCAGAGCAATGCATGAAAATGCTAATCTGGTGATGGCATAACCTTCAGACGATTGAAAGCTGCTTTTTCAAGAAAAGCTTGGGTGCTAGGGTTGGCGATTTTGATAAGTTCATAAGCTCGTTGTCGCATATTCTTACCCCACAACTGTGCGATACCATTTTCCGTAACAACATAATGAACATGTGCACGAGAAGTTACAACTCCACCACCCTTAAAAAAAATTATAATAGATCACAAACCGGAGAAACACGATAGCCGAGTGGTTATTGCTTACAGCATCAATAGGCATCAAAAATTCTGATCCTATCCCTGATAATTAAAGGTAAGCCTATAATTAAAAATCCGGGTGGTTCTGGCGACTCATCTGTACTTCCATCGCTAGTGATTGTGAAGCCTGTGACGCCAAGTGATAAAAAGACAAAAATTTGCCATCGCATTAAAAGACAGCGGAGCAAACGTAACCAGAAGTTATTAACCGATGAACTAATTACTTACTAATATCGGTGACTTATTATCTATCCAAATAATTCCCTGATAAAAATCTCTAATCCTACCAACAACTGAACTATCAGAACTACTTTAACTAATGATGATGACAGCGTTAACCACTCTTCCCTCACTTACTAAAATTCGAGTAAATTATTCCATAAAATCAAGAAAGATGAACTTATTGTCAATGATTCAAAATAGTTCGCAGAAAATTGTTTTTTCTAGCGATTTTTGTCGGAAAGAGAACAGAAAAAGTTTGCTCCATTCTCACCGATAAAATATGTATATCATACCTCATTTATGAAAGGTACAATTTTCGATTGACCCTTTTTGGTAACTGATGGTAAAGCGATAATTGGCTTGCCAAGACCATCGTCACCAATTGCTGATCCACGAATGAAATCGACTTGTCCACCGAATCCAGAAATAAATCGAGAACCCACAGAATCACTAACAACTATAAAATGTTTATATGGAGAAAGAGATGAAATAATAATGAAAAAGAACTTTAATTTATTAAATTTTATTTATGACCTATGATGTAAACATTTCAGCGAAAATCATCTAAAATCTTTGATTCTCTAAACTTCTTAAATTCCTCAAGAAATAATAAACCAGCTCAGAAAATAATAATAGATGGTCGAACAATATAAACTGCTCCAACTGAAGTCAAACGACTATAGGTTCATATGTCTATTCCCTGACGTAGCGAATCTATTAATTTTTGTATACTTGATAAACAAAATGGATTGTGTTGAAAAGTTATCAGTATTTCTATGTCCAAATGACTCTTTAAAGCGAATTGAATCATTATTTAATTATTATTATCAGAAATACGAGCATTATTAAAAGAAAAAAAGCACCACCTTGTCCAGTGAGATCAATCTCTACAGCGGAATTAATAGCAGTCATCTTTGGCATTTCGCGAATAACAGCCGGATCGTTGACCCATGCCACATCACCAAAGAAAACGCTTGGATTATTGTCCAGAAAATCGTACAGCTTTGTCGAACCGTAAACAAAAGAAACAACAAGCTAAAAAATTAACAGTTACCAATATTTCGATAAAAATAACAGGCATTATGTATATGAAAATTAACATTTTAACATTTTAATTAAAATTGACATACAAAATATGGGTGGCAAAAAAAATATAAAAATATATAAAATGTTATTATCACTATCAATAGAATCATTAACTCTTCCGGGGAACAATGTCTTCTTGGAATTAGTGATAGCATTGCATTTAATTAAATCAAGCACACCATCGGAAAACATTTCCGTGTGAATACCCAAATCCTTATGATGAGTTAAGGCAGCTAATGCAGCATCTGGTATTGCACCAATTCCTAAATATTGAACGAATCTCAATGAATATTTTTATTCTGCAAGAAAAATTTTCTAACAATTTTATGAGCGAAAAAATTTTGACTGCAAATATCCCATTTTTCAAAGTAAATCTAACAAAAACCATATATAATCCACATATATTAAAAATCTTTTTTAAAATAATGCTAACCCATTTGAAGCGTAGCACCGTTATCTACCAAATTTTTAGCAATGAGCTCGCCAATCTTCTTTTCTTCGGTAGATGGTTGACCAGAAGTGGGACGTTCATGAAGTTTGTGATCATGACATTCAATGGCAACGTCTATATGAGATTCATGGATAACTGAGTCACCAAACGTACGAGGCATATTCCTATTGATCATAGCTGAAATTTGCAAAGAATTTACTGAACTGAAATAAATCACCATCATCACTAAGTAGATTTAAAAAAATTAACCAAAAAATTTATCGAGAAACTAAAAATCTGAAGTAACCAATAATATGATTAGCCTGAGTCACAGCTGCGCGAGTAGCATCCACACTCGTTCCGAGACTACAATATCCAAAAACGTCTGGCTCTGAGACCTGAATTAAATTATGAAGGAAATAGACTACCAAATGATATTTATTCGGAATAAAGTGAAGCTATTCTGAAAAATACCTGGATGAAAGCTGCATCGAGCTTGATTGCACCTGAACGGAAAAGTAACGGCACTTCATGAAGAAATGTTGAATTGAAATCTGCCGTACCTAGTAAAGCAAAAAATTGCAAAAAACGATAAAATCAGAATTTTGCACAAATTTGTATGCAACAAAATTTCCATAAGAAATTTTTTTTGTTCATTCATTATTCGTAAGAAAAGAAATAATGTAAAAATAACGTAATGTAATGTAATGTAAAGAAGTGAGGAATTATTGAGAATTAAATACCATCATTGACTGCTTTCCGAAGATTTCCGCCGGTGAAGAGGGAATTCGATCGTATTCGGTCTAAAAGCGTTTGCACGAAAAAGATCTCGAAGAACAAAAGATTTTTCAAAATAACTCTTCCATAAAAGACTTTGAAACGATTCTCGCGATCGGATCCCCGAAGTGCTTTTTAAAACAATACCCTTTATATCAGCAGCAGTCCACGGCACGGGGCCCTCCAAGTGCAGATGATGAAGTGTAATCTTTTTCAAGTCGTTGCTCTTAACGTATTCACAGAACACTTCCAAAAGGGGTGTCGGTGTTGCTGCGATGCCATGCACGAATATGTGGTCACCTAAAATTCCGGGAAAAATCTAAAATATAGAAAACGTTTTAATTAAATTGAAACTGAAGGAGCGTTAAATAATACGTGCCAAAAAAGCCGCTTGCTACCTATTAAAAAGGTTTCAGTTGAGTCCACAGTGAAGTGATAAACGAAGATGGAAGCGCACTATTAGTGCAACTGGCATGAGCCGATGAGCCGATTATTGTTAAAAATGAATCGGCGTGTGTTTTCCAGTCGAAAGCGACCCTCGGGAAAAAGAATTTCATTGATTCGATTTCAGAAATTTGTTTTTCATTTTTTTAGAGTTTTCACCTCTCCTTTACTGGTGGTTAGCTGGTTAGACTCGCTCAGCTGGCTTGTCGCACTGGACAAATGTGCCAGAGAGTCCCTTGGCGATAGAAACGCAGGCGAGTCGCCAGCGTCACCCGGACTTTTGAACAGGTCACTCACTCCCGCGGGCATCGGAACCTTAGTATCGGCGCTCCGAAACGAGCAACAAGCCATCCTGTCCACTCAGAAACTGAACTAAGCGAATAAGAAATTCTTCCGAAAAGGAATAAAAATGCGGCGAAATTTTGGTTTCAACTGTGATGAGTCTAACTTAAAACTCTACGAAAGAAACGAAATCTTTTATTGCCGATTTTTACTTTACCCATTCGTTTCATCAAAAATTGCTTCCACTTGCAGCCCTCCAAAACAATTTAATATTAGCCAGCCGAATGAGCAGAAAGGAGCCAAGAAAGAAATACGACATTTAGCAGTGCGCAGCTTAATTATTAAAATCGATTTAGGGATGGATGAATAAAAATATTTATAGAAAAGATAATTTGCGAAAGCTGGCCAGATTTTATTCCTCCGAATGCGTTTTCAATATCAGTTGTGACGGTTTTTTTGCCGGCGATCGGGTACGCACATTCTTGGCTTTCGACGCCACGAGCGACTACACGAAATAGGTTTGAAGAGGTCGCTGATAATGAACGAATCGAAACGAATGTTAAAAGGCCCATTTCTACAAGAAAAAAATCAATGATCCTGGACGAGGCGCTGCCATATTTAAACGATAAAATGGAAAATCACTTCGAATTGCAACATTTAACTGACCATTAAAAATTGACAAGAAATTTTTATAAATATATAAAATTTATATATAAAATTTATTAAAACGGAGTTGTATAAATCAATGAAAATAATCGAAATTATCCTAGAAAAGTTACTGCAACAGTTCACTTTTAAATTATTTAGAACGATTGTCAATAAATTATCCAATCGATCATGAAAATAATTAATTTAAAAAAATTCATCTCAATTCAGTTCAAAATAATCGCGTAAATTCATTATTTTGGTGGAAGCAGTGAATGAAGCGATGCGACGCCCTAGAGCGCGAAATTTCCTTCTTCTTCTGGCAGCGCAGCCGGCTTGACTGGCTCCGCCGTCGCCTTCCGCCTGTAGGCACTTCGAGCTGCAGAATGCGTGAGGAGTGCGTGCCTCTGCACCCATTTCACAGAGGAGCCGTGCCAATTAATTGATTAAAATTCAACGATTTAAATGCGTAAAAGTATGAAACACGACGAAGCATCAGTCGTATGCATTAAATAATCAAAAATAATCTCAGCGCGTTGTTTTGGCTTCAAAAATACTTCACTAATTATTTAAAAATTTTCGCTTTACATTGTTTAATATTTTAATTCACTTTTAATTCATTATTCTTTGACATTTCATATTATATTTTTATACAATTTAGTTATAGAAATATTTTCCTCATTACAGTAAATAAAATTAACATTTTTATCGATCAAAAATTCACTCTTAAAAAATTCTTTTTGAAGTGAGTGAATGAGTGAATTTAACTATATAACTATAAATAACGTAAAATTTTTAAAGGGCGGACTGCTCTTATTCTATCGATTGTCATCGCCGTCGTAAATGCGTATAACTTGGTCGATTTCGGTTTTTTAAGCGAATAAATTTACAAACTGAAGAAAAGTGAAACTCTGCGTCACTTGTATAATTTCGAATAAAGCAACAAAGGATGGCAATAATAATAATTATTATTATTATTAATAAAAGTAGCAATGACAGTGATACAAATAATAATCATTGAGCAAAAAAATTGTATAGTTGTTTAATAATAAACGATGGACTTTCGTCGCTAACGATGCACGAAAGCAAAGTGGTAGCAAACGCAATGAACCTAATTCGAACTGATCTAATCACTGATAACGCCGATGCCTTCGACAAGCAATCATATCACTGACTTTTCCAAAATATAAAACGCTCATTTCAAGAAGAGTAATGCTAAAACAAGAAAGCCCACACACTTGCACACAGATGCACAGAGACGCACGCGTTCACGAGTCATGGATGCGTGCAAGCGCACGAACATACGAGCAAGCTCGGCGGCGACTCGTGCACCTTCGGCCCTCGGCTCGACGATTTACCTGCGTTTACTTGCGAACGAGCAATATTCTTTAATCTGTAATTTTTCTTTCTCTCTCGATGGAGTCGCTGCTATTTGCATTCGTATTGCTATTTTGCAATTATTAAACTATTTCGCACGAATCGAGAGAAAAGATCAAATCGGAAGCGACTGAATAATCAAAAATCAGAGGAGTGCGACGATCACCAACCCCATTACACGCTTCATTACACTGCTATTCGTCGTATTAAAATACAGCCACAGCTTCACATGGCATTCAATAATGAGCAGAAAGGCTCGGTGGTGCAAATGGTTAGAGGAATGGCTTCCATAAGTCAGCTTGGCGACGGCCGAGGACGTTTATGGGCAGCCGAGCCAGCCTAGCCACTGCTTGAAGAAGAAGGAAGAAATCATATAAAATGACTTTCTCTTCATTCTTTTTTCAATCTTATTTCCCAAAATCATTTTCAATTATTCAATTATTTTCCGCAAATCTATTTATAAATTCGGCGCAGACAGTCAATATCAACTATGTTCTCATGAGCGATAAAAAAGCTGCTTGTTTTAGAGCTGAAAGAAACAAACTTGCTGAATCGAAGAAGGATTCGTTCGAGAATGTCTGCTGTGGTGGTCTCCAGTGCTATAATTAATTTGATTTGGCTGACGTTTTCGGTAGTCATCTCTGCGGCGTTTTCCTCCGTATATATTCTTTCTCCAATATTAATTTTAATTCCCTTCGAATTATTCCACTTCATTCCGTTTCTTTGAGAATATCTCCCTAACTGATGCCAAAGTCGTCGTTTTTATGTGCACTCTCTGGTAAAATCTTGCAAATTTTTATAAAAATTCCTTGCTGAGTGCTACTCCATCATATATAACTTTTAAGGGCGCCCTTGAATCCGATATTAATCCGAAAATTCCGAAACTTCTCTGATCTTCGGTTTCTTCAGTCGATCGCTCCTAGTTGCGCTAAAATTAAGACTAAACATTTACTACAATCAACAATATTTTCAATATAAGCTGTCTCATTCTTCAAATTTCTCTCTCTAGAACAACAACTCTTTATGTTAGATGAATTCAGTTTTCTTTTTAAAGCCAATTCAGGAAAAAAGATCTGATACTCGGTGCGAACATTTTCTACTGAAATTGCTTTATAGGGTTTCAGTTGAATCAGTGGGCTTGTCTGCAGTGTTTCCGACTCTAAATGTTTTCAATCAGAAAAGCTTCTGGGCTTTAAGGCTTCTTTGCTATTAGCCAGTTTAAAATCTAAATTCTCACAGATGGTTGCACCAAGACGTAGTATTTGCTTGCATTAATGTTTTATCAATATGGTCTTATCAGAATCAAAATCAGAATTCTTTGAATCGATATATAGAATTCTACATTCATCCAGTGACACTTTTTTAAATTAATTTGTCTATCATTCATCTACGTATATCATTTCGTAACAACGCCAGATTCTCCAATCTTCTATCTACTAAATAATTAAATTTGTAATTATTGGCACACCAATTCGAACCAAAACAATTGCATGAAGGATTCCGAGTGTGCTGTATATGCTCAAAAATTTAAATGCTTGGACAGGCTTGGAGAGACCGCATACATGAAAAATATTGTCTGGTCCGATGTTAAGGAGAATAAAGCAAATGAGATAAATGGTAAACATCAAGCAAGGAAATAATATTTTGAATATAACAGATATTTTTGGTTTAACAAATTGCTGCATTAGTTGCTTTAGATAATTGCTCTGCCACTTAAATAAAGAAATACATGTGTATATGTACAGTTATAGCAATTATTAGATACTACAACAACTATTGGAAGCTATCAGATGTTTAAATTATAAATATGGTCTACATATTAACTGATAATCCGAATTTTTTGGAACCTAGTTGGATTATTCTACTGGCAATCACGAACTAGACTTCGATGGTTTCGTAATAACACACAGAACAGTGAATGGTCTAAATATGTGCAAAGAGGGCTTATCACACTTACTCCCAATTATTATAAATATGCAATTTTTGATGATTATTATATTTGTTACATTGTTTGTTATTTTTTAAGTTCTTGAAAATTTATTTTAATAATAGAAATATTTCTCTCTTAAATCTATTAATGGCCCTCTCTAAAAGGATCGAATTGTTGTGATTCCCTCAGTAAGATTGATACAATTATATTAGATGTCTGTGATGCCTTAAATAAAAACATTTCTAAATATTATTCACAAATATTTTATAAGAAATGCGCAGTCTCCCTAATTTTGTTCTTTTTCTGTTCTTAATTTACGAGGATATTATGAGGAATGACTTAAATCCAAGAATTTGGAAATTTTCCTACATAATTCCTATTCATAAAAAAGGAAAGACCTATGATCCTTGCATTATAGACCTATTAGCCCAACATGCATCGGATTTGTAGCATGTTGCGTAGCTCTCTTGGTGCCAATAATTTAATATCCCCTATCAGCATGGCTTTTACTCGAAAAAATCCACTTCCTCATAAATGTTGGTAAATCTTTCTGGTTATTCAGCATCAGTTGAAAAATAGAAAAACAGTATCAGTTGTCTTTTTATCTAGATTTATCTAGATTTGGCTAAAACGTTTGATACCGTTTCACACAGCAAGTTGTTGGTTACCATTAATTATTATCCTTATGGAATTACAGGGAACTTGTATAACCGGGTATCAGATTACTTAAAAGGTCGATACCAAACTTTATTAAGATCTTTTAGATTTGGCTCTAGTCAAATCAGGCTTCCTTCAAAGTAGTTGTATCGCACCATTAATTTTTTTATTATGTTAAACATTAAAAGCTGTATTAAACTTATTTATTATTCTCATGGTAGACCGTGATAGCCTATCTCCATTACAAGCTAATCTCAACAGAATTTCCAATTGGTTATATGATCGTCGGAAAAACTGAAATAATAAACGTTTTCCCATGCTAAAATCATAAATCAGTTGTACATCCAGTATTTTTGCGTGCAAATTTCCTTTTTAGTTGTGAGAATACTGTCAATTTGTAAAAAAATTATACGTCTAATTATAAATTGAAATCTCTTTACATACTCCTTATAAAAAACGACGAGGAATGTACCCAAAGAGGAATCAATGAGTTTATTCGATCAGTTAGTTGTTTTGGTCGGTCGGTCGGTCGGACGGTCAGTCAGCCAGTTTCTTCAATACGTCCTTCATATTCAATCGTAATCCTACTTTTCAATTTGTTATTTTAATTGATATTATTTTGCACATTATTCTATTATATTGGTATCTGGTCAATAACAAAATCTACGACCAGCTGTATTTGTGAAACCGTCGACGATTAAGTAAATCACTTCTTTCAAAAATTTTAGGTTTTTTTCTTTCTGAATTAACAAAACTTTCCACGATAATGATAGGCAATTCACCCTTTCCATTGAGAAGTGAAAGGGTCCAGTCCTCTCCATTACTGGTTAAACTCGCTCCACTGGATTATCACAATATGTCAGGGAATTCTTTAACGATAGAAATACAGGTGAATCGCCAACATCACTCGGATTTTTGTACAGGTTTACTCCTACGGGGAATCGAACTTCAGCATCAGCGCTCCCAATTGAGCAACAACCCATTGAGCCATTCTATTCCCAGATTGTTTTTAGGTTATATTTCAACCCAAATCTAATGAGCTAAAGCTTAGGTTCAGCAAATAATGAAATATGCGTCAACTCCTGTGGTGGATGACGGAGAATGTGCATTAACGCGATAACATTATTAATACAAATGAAATTTGAGCGAAGATGGATGCAGTCATGTGCGATCTTATGCGCTCGAGGGATCCGTAAAATGTATCATGAGTGGTCAGAGGCTGATAGCTTCTTCTTAATATTTTCCACTCTCATTGGCCATGTTTGGCAGCCATATAGCAAGATCGAGCGAATTTCGTCTTTACAGTGATTTTACGACGATTCCATAAAGGTTTCATCAACCGGAAAAATACATCCCTAACTGCCGTTATCTTGTTTATTCAATTTCATCCTTTTCCTGGCCATTTGGGATTAAAGTAGATCCAAGATATGTATATCCCAGTCTGAATGATTAAGATCCATTCCGCTATTTCTTGCTGCTATGAGTCTATTCAGCAGAAGGGAGGAGAAAATTTTTCCGAAAAAGAAGAAGATGTCTAGTAGGCTAATTCCTCAGTAATTGTCGCAATACTTCTGTTACCTTTTCTGTTATCTGACCATCTGATTGGAATATTGATTATCCGGAGAGTTCCACGTGATGGATGTTTTTCCGATGCCGAAATTCCGAAAGTCTGTATTAATAACAAAAACTCATGCTGTACGGCAAAATAATAAAGAGTTCTCCACTAGTGCACTGGATTCGGATGGCATATTTGCTGATTACCGAATTCATCGTAACGGCATTATGACCTATGCGCATTCCATTCTCCCCAGATTATGACCATGTCACCTCTCGGTAGAGATGTTGTTAATAATTAAAGTTGTGCATAGAACTTATCCTCATCTGCATAAAATTAGAGCATATACATTGATGTCTGAAACATTGCAGAATTTTCCCTTGAATCACGCGTAAGCCATACGGTCATTTATTGGTCTCCATTCAATTAGAGAGGATCGAGCCTTATCAGACATAAAAATCGCTACGCCATTTCGTCCCGTGTTATCCAAAACAGTGTTATGGCCAATATCTTTGCTCGGGACCAAATTTAACAATTACTCGAGAGCCGACATGAGGAAGACTCCGACAAACCACATCCACACGGTATTTAGAGAGGGTGTGGACAGTGATCGCTTGGCTTGCAACATCCATAAGCCTTCTGACGTTCCAAGCAGCTATAGCTAGCACCATGCTTACAAAGTGTTAACGGATAGGTTCTCTTCTTCCTTGAATTGATGTGAATTATTCCGCTTTGCGAATATGCTCAAAGTTTTGGAATTACTTTATTATTATTAGTTCTGATCGTTAAATTAACAAATTAAATTAAATATATGTAGGATATGGACAATTTCTCTTTATTATTTAACGCAAAAGTAGGATAATTTAAATAATTCAATTGATTTATAATTTTTTTAACAATTTAATTTATAAATTATTTTAACTTTCTGTTTTAAAATTTTTAAAAAGAAATATTAACAATTAAATTCAAAATTAAATTAAAAGAATTTAAAGAATTTATTAATTTATTAAGAATTAATTTATTTTATTAAATTTTTTAGAAAATTAAAATTCAACAAATAAGCTGAAAATTTGCGTCGTACTTCCTAATCGCAATTTTTTTAGGCCTATCACCACTATAAAAGACGAAAATTAAAGACTCTTGAGATGAATTTTTCGGCAAAAATCTTGGAAAAAAAGACATAAATTGTTCAAAATTGCTTGAAAATAACTTTATCTTCGATGAAATTATGGAAAACCTACGATCAATGCTACAATTATGCGTGCATGGATGACCACATTCGAGCATGACGTCGTTGCGCGTGTTTTTTGAATTCTTAGAAAAAGTTGAGAAAAAAATTTTTAACCGTTCTTGTTATGCGGTTATTCTGATGGAAATTTATCTCTTAGAAGGAGAAGCAACTGACGTTTAATATTTAAAAAAAATTCGATGATGAGCCATGTAATATTTAAAGTGTAAAATAACGTTCAAAAAAGGCTATACAAATTACCTTTTTTTAACGCGAATTTTTTTTTTTCATGAATGCTAATGCTTAGAAAAAAAGTGAAAAAGAATAATTCGTTAAACTAATTAATGTGGAAAGCATGGACAAGTGGTACCGCTTATCACTTCAGTCAGTTAGAAATTTTCGCCAGAGTCATTTAATGAACTGGGACATTTGTTAACTTTAAACCACTGGTCACCACTGGCATTTCATTTCTAACAACACGTACTATCAGAAATAAAACCTCTCTTTACGGAGCACAGTAAGTACGATAATCATAATTCTAAGAGTCTGAGGAGAGTCGAATGGAGTGTTATTTCGATTAAAGCCATAATAGTCTCGATTCCTCTCTCTTAACGGAAATTTGTTATGGAAAGAGAAATGCCCTTGGTGCCAGAGATTTTTTCTTGCATCATCGAGTGACTTTGTGGCAAATGGAACTTATCCTAGCCAATGGGACGGGACAAAAATATTAAGTAAAGATATTAAGTACTGTTAGAGGAAAGAAGAATAGTTTCACCTTGCACACCGGATGAGAGAACGTAATTTCCAAATTTTTAAATTAAATTAAATTAATGTTTGGCATGTATGAATGAAGAATTTTATTTATAATTTATAATTTTATTTATAAAAAAAGAATTTTCAGAAATATTTAATAATCTATTTACTTTCGGAATATTATGGTAAAGATTTACGCACTGATCGTTTAGAATGGTAAAATTAGCAATAGTAATCCATCAGAATATATATCATCACATAGTTATGTCGAACAAGGAAATATTTCGAAAAAAACGTTACAATATTATTTTATCGCCACAAAAAGAATTCATGAGAAAAAAATGAATAAATAAAAATAAAATATCAAAAAACAAAAAACATCTGTAATGAGAATTTAAAAATTGCCAATTTTTTTAACTAATAATAAAAATGGTAAATGTTTTAATTAGGTAAAAATCTCATCACTTTATTACAAAATTATTATCCAAATATTGAAACAAAATAATTTACAATTTAAATTGCAAATGACAAGAAAAGCGATATAAAAATGTGCGAAATATTGAAAGTACCATTCTTTCAGATAACAAATTTCTTTTATCTAAATGACCGCCAATCTTTTTTCTATGTTCTCCCTAAATTACGACATAAAAATCCATCTTTGGTATAATATTTTCTTCCTCTTTTAACTATTACCGCTTAGGCTGGCTCCGCTGGTTAACAGAGTAAGACATTTTCTGTTCCATTGCTAATAGTAATAGAAGCATTCAGTGCAATATTTTAAAATTTAAAAATATAAAATATCAAATTTTTTAATCTAAAGTTTTATATGTATTTTGCAAAAAATAATCAGTAACACAATAATTTCTAGCAAAATAATTAGAATTAGTAAAAAATAGATAACGATTGAAATGGCACTTATCTTTTTAAAAAAGCTGACGAAAATAGAATAATATTATTTTAATATTACCTCGGTCAATTCTCGGGAAATTATTTTGGTTAGTGTGGGTAACAAGTAGGTACCACTGATGCGAAATTCCTGATTATTGGAATATTAAAAAGGAATATGAAGTTCTTTGGATGCTAATTGAGCTTTTGTGAAAATTTTTCAAAATCCTTTTAACTTTCTGCATTAAAAATGCCTCCGAGAAAAATTTTTTTTTTAATTTGTTAATCTGATTTAATTCAAATAATTAAATGAAATTTTTGATTTCTGAACAAAAATTATTCTTCTATAGTAGATTTTATAGCAAATTATCCGTTAATTTATTAGAGAATAAGGATCCACCTCACCTATTAGAAAATATCATCCAAGGAAACCATAAATCTCCTTTTCCTTATATAATATAAGGAGAATAAAAGAAGAAAAAGAGTTTAATGACGATTAAAAAATTATAAAAAATTGACTTAATACAGAAAAATATTCGTGCTGAAGTGAAAGAAAATCTTAACATAATTAACTAATGACAAACCCGTTCTAACAATGAACAGAGCGACTTTCTAATTGATCAACAGATTGTGGAATCACTGATCACTGCAACATTGTCGTAATTCGGTCGATCTGCTTTAAAATTCGGTGGAGGATGTAACCCTCTGATGAGACGCTGAAATTAAAATAAGCTTATCTGAAATCACAATTTGTCCATCGTTCACCTACTTGCACCCTTGTTAACTTTGATTTCAGTGGAAATAACTACATAAATTTTCTAGGGGAAAAAAAGAGAAGTTTTCTTTATAGGAGAAAAACATATAAAAAAACAACAAAAAATATATCTTTCATCTTAATTTTTCAACCTTTATAATAAAATTCAAGGAACAAGAGTTGTTATGGGTGTGGTTGGATATTATATCAAAGGGTTTCTGTTCCTTTTAAATTATTTTAATTTAATTATTTTAATCGTTAATTAATTTCGTTAATAAATGAATGAATAATATAAACCTCTTTCAAAGATCCTTTTTTAGTCTTGATGAATAGATGATAAATGGCATAACTCGGAATAGATATTATGGAACATGATGAAAGAAATATCCCAAAAATTTCAGCAGCGACAGGATAAGAATCACCATTTGGATATTTTAATGGCTGATACTTGATGATGCAAAAGAAAAATAGCGCCTAAGGCATTTATATTAGGAAGCAATATTTATTAAACATTCATTAGTGATAAAAAGTATTTTCACTTAAACTTGAAACGATCTGCTTACTATTTTAATTACTATTTTAATCTGCATTTCGTTATATAGGATGGGAGTTCTAACCTATCCACAGAACTTTTTGGACTGCGCCGACTCACATAAGGGAGAATTTACGCCCTTGTTTTTATTAACCTGTAACTGAAATTTAGCATTTCCTTCAACCAGAAGTGGGCCATATTAGTGTGTTACCTATCTCAGCAGTAGGAATTACAGATTTTCATTTCAGACCAATCTTCCACCGCACTCTTCCATGCATTTTATTTTATATATTAAAAACATCAATCGAAGGAAAAGACGATAGGCTTCCATCAAATTGCCAGTAGAACCTATGGTATGGAAGAAACTAAGAACCATTCTATTCTAGAAAAGGGAAGAAAAGGTGCAATAAAATCGTATAAAATAAAACATAAGAATGAGCACCGACAATAGAGCTGGGGGAGATAATGGTCTTTTCCAATACTTTTTGTTAAGTTTTCTTGAAGTTTTTCTACATCATTTAATAAGTACAAGTAATATAATTCAAAATTAAAATTAATTAGTGGTGTTTTGAGTTCAATTCCAGTTAAGCATAAATAATGGAAATAATTTGAAGAACTTGCATGGACTGCTCAATTTAAGAAAAATTTAGTAAAAAGATGTAAAGCAAACAGCGGTGATGGCTGGCGATACGAATTTCCAAATATAGTCCCATATCTTCGACATATTAATATTAGTCATTTCTTTAATAGCAAGTCGTATTTCTTTTGCTCCTAAACAAATCTAATTTTGCCTAAAGATTATTTCAGGAGTTTTAAAAACAGAGAGATTTTAAGGTGAAACTTTTTTTTTGAGGAACTTAATAAAATTCAATAAAATATCAGTAAAATGCCACTACCAAACATATATAAAACGAACAAAAAAGAAAAAAAGTTTATATAAATAATAAGTTTATAAAAAATAAAATCCCCACCGAATCCCCACGATAATCCAACTACTTCAAAGAAAACAACAAACAACAAAGCAATTCCACTTGCACCATAAGCATCAACCAGTGTTAACCAAAAAGAACCAGCCTAAAATAACTTTTTTCGATAACTGGCTGAAAAAAAAAACCCGATTTAAATTATTAGTAAAATTATTACTTATCCAAAACAGTTTCCAAATTCGTCTCTTCTTTAAAAAACTTAAACTAAAAAAACTTTTCAATTTACAAAATAGTGGATATTTACATATGAAACCATTGGTATTCCAATAAGGAAAAAAAATGAGCACGCTATGGCAAGCGAAATTTGCTTGTATTTTCTAATTATAGATGGACAAACATCTTCGATAGCTGTCAATAGTCCTTCCAACATACAAACCTGCATATAATTCAAATTTAATGATAAAATTTGCAGTTTTTGCCATAATAATGGAATATGGAAAAGTACGTTTCTTGGACATCATAGATTTGACTCTTGTCCTTGATCAACCTAATAAAAGTGAATTACGAGTGATGCTGCAGACCAATCTTCCATTCAGCAAAAATGGCTTCATCTGTATGGTCAGTGGACTAAATTGAAAATGGGAAAAGATGTTAAAAGAAGAATCATTCCTATTCGTCCACAATAGGCGCATATAGATTATTATGATTTCAAAAAATGAGGATCACCTGACTATCCAATCCAAGGATAGTGATCATCAAAAAAAATAAAATGGCCCATAATTGTTTCAGTGGTAGGTTGCTTGCTACTTCTGGATAAGCTTGAAAAGCCAAACCAACGCCTATAAATATAAAATAATAAATAATATTTAATAGAAAGAGAAAAAAAATGGAAATATCAAAGGCAAATGCCGACAATATTAATACCAAATTTTCAAATTGAAAATAAAATAATAAACAATAAAAAAATATACAATAATAAATTAATAATAAATAATAATAATAATGGAAAATATTAGAATAATATTAAATGTGAATAAAATGGATGAATAAAATACTGAAAACATTAAAGGAAAATTAAAAATTATTAAATGTTATTGAAAATTGATACTTTTTATGCGTTTCAGTTCACTTTTCTTATATTTTTTTATCAAAGACTTTCAATCATTTTATATATTTATTTCCGAAAATTATCAAGCGAAAAAACCACCTGGCTTGACGATTAAAGCGATATCCTTGTGAGCAATAACGGACATATATCCAAGAATTGAAAAGATAGCAAAGCCTAAAAAAATGCCTTTCAAATAAATTATGAATATCAATATGGATAAACATAACCTTTTAAGCATAAGTTTTATCAAATCACCTTACTTCTAATCAATTATTGATATGAAAAAATGAATCATATTCAGCTTGAAACATTTAAGAACTTTTTTTTTAAAGAGTCCTCACCATTACTGGTTAAACTCACTCCGCTGGCTCGTCGCGTTGGGCAATATGCCAGGGAGTCCCTTGGCGATATAAATAAATACAAATGAGTCGCCAGTATCACCCGGATTTTTGTACAGGTTTACTCCTGCAAGGAATCGAACCTCAGCATCGATGCTCCCAATTGAGCAAAACAACAACCCACTGAGCCATTCTATTCCCACTTGAAATAGATATTTTAAATTAAATAATTCTGATGATTAAATTATAAAATTACGATGTAATTGGAAAACCAGATCAAATCTAGTTTAAAGGAAGTGGTAAAAATTTATCTGATTTTTCGTTTTTCACTCGCTCATATCATTTTTTTTAATAGTTTAGATTTTGCTCACTTATCGCTTATCATTTGTTTCTTTCTTATAGCACTCTGGTAATGATAATTTTCTGGAAAATTTTCGAAATTTCAGGCACCGATTTAATGATTCCGATAAATCCGATTATTAATCATTGTTTTCATTAAAAATTGTAATTGATTATAAAATTACGTTGCCATCCTCAAACTTGGGTAATTAATCTTATTCAGTATGGAACATTTAGGAATTATTTTAATATGAAATATTTAACGTTTTTTGATGAATAATCATTGTAAATAAAAATTTGAAGATTAAATACCAGCTAAAATGCTCGTTCCTCCATTTATTATACACATGAGAAACGCATCTCTAAAAAGACAAAAATTATATTTGAATAATAGAATAATTTTTGATTAAAAAACGATAGTAGCAGAAAAAAAAAGTGAAAATTGTAGAAAATTCTAAACGATGTAAAAAATATAAAACTACTGATCATTTTAACTAGGGGTTCAACAGATTCAGAAAATGGAAAATAAATCAAAATAGGGTATCAAAGTTAGCAAGGATTTTGATCTAGCAAAATATGGACTTGGATAGTGGGAAAAGGAATTCTATAATTCTATAATTTATAATATATTTATGAGCGAGGAAAGGGTCTCGCCAATGTAGTTAGCACAATTAACTGAATTAGTAATGGCACGATAAAAAAAAAATGTTATAAAAAAAAGAATGTTCAAGTAGTAATGGTCAGACATCATAGATTCGACTACTCTTCAGTAATAGCCTTCTATTTAAATGAAATGTGGCTGGGGCTGGGAATTCACCAGTGTATCCTATTCTCTACCGAAGAGATCTCTAGCAATCAGTGAAACCACCCGAGTTAAAATAACCAGTACTGCTGGAAGAATGAGGAAAAATAAAAACGGACATTTAATTTTGATAAGAATTCTCATTAAAATGGTCATTTAAGTGGTCAGTAGTCAGTTAAAAATCTTTCTGGATTCTGACAAATGATCATATTTATTACCTAAAACAGTTGTGATTGAATGAATTATGTGAACCAAGGGCAATAAGAGTACCAAATCCAACGCCATACGAATAAAATACCTGGAAAATGGATAAAACAATAAAAAACAAATAAGTATAATTCTACTAGAAAAAAACTAAATGATGCAACTAAAGAAGAATTTTGAGGAGCAGTTAGAAGATATTTAAATGAAAAAGACGTTAAGAAAGACATGTCTTCTCTTTAATAATTTATTTATAGGATTAACTAAAAAAATTGCAAAAAGAAGACTTTTTCTTTCCAGTAGAAACACAGAAATGGGGAGCACAGATGGGATGAGAGAGATTAATATCATCCTTTTTCGGATGAGCAGTTTCGGATATTTTAACCAAATTTCAATGATTTCTGCCTTACTTAAGAAATCAGGAGATTCGAAATAATTGGTTGCAGTCCTAAAACTAAAAAGAGATGTCATATAATGCCAATTCGAATGAAATGTTCGATGATTTTGAGGAGATTAGAGAAAATCCAACATTTCACAAAAAAATGAATAAATACTAAATGAATGAATGGATAATTTGTCTTTTATGATTTGCCTTCTTGTGACCAAGCTTTTATAGCTTTCAACGAAAATTAAATTAAATCTAGGCAATCGCGCAAACAGCCATAAATCCATTTCGATTTAAATATTTCCAAAAAAATTTTAAAATAATTTCTGCAGAATCAAATTATTTTTATAAAAAACAAATTTAAGTGTAAATCTGTATTAATTTTATCTGAAATAAATAAATGATGAATAAATATTCTTTGAACATTTTAAATATTGTTTTTTTAAAAAAATAAGCTTGATCACAAGAAAAAAATAGCATTTGCATAAACAATTCAGCTTACTGTTGAATTATAACAACACTTTTTTTACAAATGTGAAAAAGCAGGATAGTTACATACATACACATCGAATCCGCAAAAAGCCGCAGTGGATAGAGCGAGGACGGTGATATAAATAAGTAATCTTGAACTAAACCGCCCATCTGAAATTCAACGCCTGGCAAACTGTAAAAAATGAATCAGCGAATGACAATGAAATTTATTATTTATTCGCAGAATTTTTTATTCATGGGTAAAGGAAAGGTAACGCATGACTGAAAAAAATTCTTTTTTAAGAAAAGAGAAAAGCAAGAAATCGGGAAAAGGGATGGGTAAAAAATTTGCGTGGAAAATGATTTAATTTGCTTGCGGTATGTGAGGTTGATTTTTTTCTTGTATTACATACATGTTTGATTTAAAAAATGCCAAGTTATCATCGTAATATCGATTGCATAATATCTTTTGTTTGAATGAAAAATCTAGCTGAATTTAGAGAATTTCTCATTTTTTCTACCATTTTGATTTGGTACCATATGCAAACCATTGCATTTAAAAATGAATCAGTTCTTCTTCCTTTCAAACAGATCAAAAAATAACTTTGATACCGCAAGCAAAATTTAGAAATGTTTTAGGTAATTTTCGACTAGTAGGTTCTGGACCAAGATTGTACAAAGCTAAAAAAGAAAGAACAACAATAAAGCGAAATTTGCTCATGAGATTTCTTCTCGTGAAAATTTATTATGAATAGAGAAGCACCGCGAAATTGTCCACTACACTACAGAATTGGAGCAAATTTATTCAAAAAAGAATCGAAAAGTTGCCTCTTCAAAAAAGTTTCCTTTGCTTCGTCATGATTTCTTCGTTCTTTAAATTAAAGGATAAGGACAGAAAGAGAATCATTTCATCATACCATTTTTACAGCGATTGGTTTGATAGCGATGAAAACAAAAAATTTTTGCAACTTAGCCATTTTAAATGGTAATTTTCACCATCACTTTGGATATTCAGATATGTGGCGCTATGGACGTATTGGTAGTCACTAAAATCTATTTGCAACATTCGCAATATCATTATTGTACAACAAATTATATGATCAAAAATCATCACCATAAAAATTTCTCAAACTTCTTAAAGTCTCAATAAAATTTCGTGGATGTTTATTAAAACCATAAGAACAAAGGTTAATCCGAGCCTGGAGGTTAATCCAGAAACGAGTCGTTATATCACATCTAAATATCAGATCTAAAATATTTTCAAAACAATTTTGCAACGATTTCGTTTTGCAATGAATAATTGAATGGTTTCGAACTACTTTCATAGAGCTTGAGAAATTAGTATGGTCCAATTTTTTGTTTGGTCGATTTATTGACAAATCGATTTCATTTTATCCACAAACGAATCACATACGTTCAGTATGATCAATCAGTTAGCAGTATTACAATAAACAAACTATATAACAATATTATGTTCAAATTTATTTTTCCAATAAATCAATTCTTTATGAAATTAATCAAAGAATATCAGATAAAAAAATTGTATCCCATAAGAATCGGTCTATGAAAAAGCAAAATGAAGCAGAGCACCTAGAGAGACTCCCGAAATTATCCATAATTTTCCCCATATCCATTAGTTTAAAATTGGATGATCCTAGATGATTCTTGGCAATTATCCTTACTTACGAAAAGAAAATTAGGGAAAATCAGCGAATTAGGCGAAAAATCCATAGATTTTTCAAAATTTGTGCATATCTATTATATATAAATAATACAACTAATTGAATGATAATGAACGGAACGTAATGATTCGATTTATAGTGGATTTATTATTTTTGTATTCATAACATCCTTATTTCAGCAATAAATTAGATGCACACTTTGTTATAAAAAGAAGGCAAGAAAATTTCTTAAAACCAATCATAGCCGTTAAAAGCGTTATTTCAAAGAGATAACTGCAAGAAGCAGTTTGACTAAGAAAATTTGGCTATGAAATGAATTACCATCATCATCTATCATTTTTCCAGCAATCCACCTTTGGAGAAAGTTATTCCATGTAATTGATAAAATTATAAAAACGTAGATAAATCCCTCAAAATTAACGCGCCAATCATAAAAATACAAAGTAATTTTAATTTTTTCCTGGAATCCAGAAATTTTGCTTATTAACCATTTAAGCCATCGAAAAATCAAGAAATTTATGATGATGTGGTAGAATAACATGAGTAATTAAACATCAACAAAAAAACTTAGTACCTGTGTCCCAGCATCCTTCCATACCGTAGGCTCCAGAAGTTTCGTCATATTGGGCGTTAAGTAAAAAGAGATGCCGCTGAATGCTCCTGGAAGAGTTAAGCCACGGACCAACAAGACAGCTAACAAGATATATGGAGTTACGGCGCAGAAAAACACAAACTAAAATAGTTTTAACGAAACTTCCTTCTAAATTAATTCAGCTAATTAGTCATCGAATTGTGGCCAAATAGTATTTAAAAGATCAAGATCGGTAGCGATGTAATTGGTCTTAATGGTACTTGTTTATCGCGACTCCAAATAGATTAGTTTTGGAATAAATTTAAAAACCTTTTTTATTGCTTTTAACCTGATTAAAGATTAAAAAAAATGTACGAAAATTTTCCGAAGAGAAGAGAAAAGCTGTTTCCTGTCAATTATTTTGTGATACATTCGAAGTATATAAACTAAGTATGTAAACTTAAATTTTTTCAATTCGCTCATTTAATTCTCGATCTGAAGTAACTCACTGAAAGATTAAAAGAGAGCTATTATTGCATTTAATGTACCTTTCTTGCCTTAGTAATCCCTTCACGTAGAGCAAGATAAACAATAATCCAGGTGAAAAACATGATCAGAAGTAGTTCCCATTGTATACCTCCAAAATCGAAAATTGTAGTAGTTTGTTTAAGAACACGGCGCCTAAAAGTAAACAAAGAACCTAAATATTCTTTCTGCAATAAGCGCTATCCATTGTCAAAAATTTTACAAAATTCTCTTCCTTTAATTGATTTCTTCGAAAATATGATGAAAAAAACTAAGCAAAACAGCTCTTATCAATTATGATAGAAGATATTTGATAATTAAATAAAAAGTGGAAAAATAAGTTGAATAAAATTTATCATTAGATTAATAAAATGAAATATTTGCAGAAAACAACTCAGTTATGCTTAGCCATTTGCATCGAATACAAAGCTTTGGAATCTTTCCAATGAGAATGAATCTATCATTAAAAACCCGAATTTCTGATGGCCTACCTGCATATTATTTCTTGGCAAAAATCTCCCTAAAGAGTTAATGAGACGAGCCTAAGCAGAAGCAATTAGCACTAACTGAGCAAAGCTATAAGCTTATTTGTGACTTGTTTTAATCATAAGCCTCTTATAGGAAATATAAAAGTAGGGGACAAATTACTTTTTTTTTTCACCATTCAGAGAAATTTTTTCACAATTTATGGCTTTAAAAACAAATCGATTACAACAGATTTATATAATCATAAAGGGTATCAGTCGCTCAAAATTTCATTTTTTAATTTTTTTCACCTATTATTTTCATTCGATATTTTTAAAACATAGTATAAATTTGTTTATTTAATTTATTTATTTAATTTGCGAAGAAATTTGAAGGATTATTTAACTCACTCCCAAAATTGTTCAATACTTGTTTCAGTTTTATGGCTGTCGGTAGCATTAAGTAATGTGGTTGATTTTACTTGTAAATCTACACACCATTCATCGTTCCTTCAAAAATTACAATATCACTTATAAACATTTTATTTCTGGGAGTGATAATTTCCGATTTCATTTTACCATATTTCTGATTGAAAATGCAATAATCAAGTAATTACAAGTAAAACCATTATATTAATACCATTGTAAAACGATTATATTGATAATATTAAATATTATAAATACTCATAAATTTTTGTAAGAAAACTTTAAAAAAGCTGTAAAAAGCTTGCGTATATGCTGATTGGTGTTTGTCGATTGTTGATTGTTTTTTTAGATAACTCTTAGGTTATAAAAATAGATTCAGTAATATTGCTTTAGATAAAATTACATACACATAATTTTTTATGTATTTATATATATTTATTTCTTCATTAGAATTTATGAGGAAAACTTACCACCAATTGCCACAAGTTTCCCAAGGAAAAGTACTCGATAATGAATTAAACATATAAAAAATTGCCCAACTAACAATAACACAAAAATATGAAATGCACATAAATGCAATTACCACATTACCTATGCCAACACCTGTAATAAAATAGTCTGTTATGGTCTGCTATAGTCGTCTGCCAATATAGATATTCTTTGATTTATTGGAGATATTCGAATTGTTAAATTTATTAAATATTTAAAGCAAAATCAAGCAGCTCAATTTATAATATTAAAATTTTTCTTCTTTTAACAGCGCTTATGGTTCCTGGTATATTGGTTCTACTGGCTATTGATGTCTAAGAGTCCTTTTAGAATAGAAATACAAATGGGCACCTCTTTACAGGCAGATCTGTCGAGAAATAGGTATCCATAGCTTGACCTTAGCAGAAACAATTCTTAATCATGCTTTGCTTAATTTTAAAACTAGATTCTTATTTAAGGCAAAATTCAGTGGGAAAATAAAAAATAAAATCAAAAAATTAATGTCTTCTTATTATACAAATTTTAAAATTTATAAAATGAAAAAAATTCAACCTTTAAAAACTGGGCACATCTTCCACATTTGCATAGCGCCACGTTGAATGTATTGACCTATCGTAACTTCCATAAGAAAAATTGGAACTGCAGCAAAACAGAAGAAGATTCCATAAACAACGAGAAATGATCCTGGAAAAAATAAATCACAATTCTTGATGTATATAAGTATTGATTTAAATCCTGGTGACGCTTACTAATATAAATATGCGAGGTTAGGTAAGAATATTAAGCAACCAGAAGCAACGAGAAGAAATATGAAAAGTCAGAAAAGCACTAGAACTGAAAGATTAATTGAAAGCCAGATTGGTCCTAGTGGTAATATCACACGGCGTTACGACTTCTAAGGTACAATATATTCTAAAAATAACATCAGGGACTTCTGTGCAAAATAGCGCAATGTTAGGAACAACTAAGATATTGCATAGAGTTGGAGCTCTACACCTACACCTCTGGTACAAGACTCGAGAATGAGGAAGGCATACCACTTAAGGAAAGATGATAAAAGAATTTTTTAAAACTTTTCTCTCACTCCCTCTGCGGATGGTCGTAAGCATCCTTAACATCGAGTTCTATACCTGAGACTTTGGGAGATTGGAGGTTCTGCACAGCATCTTAGCTATTCATAATAGTGCGCTGTTCTGGATAGAGATATCTGATAGCTGTTCCTGGAATCTACTAAAGCCATTTTTCTAGTTTAGGAATCATAACTCCAAGTGCTCTAATTGTCACTGGAATTATTTTGGCCCTTACTTTCCACATCTTCTCTATTTCCTCTTTCAGCTCTTGGTATTTGTTTAACTTCTCGTATTCCTTCTTTCTATACACATATATATATATTTTAATTGTTCGAGAAAAAATTATCAAAATTTTTTTTCAGAAATATTTTAAATCTTTATCTTAAATACTACTATACTAGTACATTAGTGTAATTAAAAAAATTTTAAAAATAAGAATCTGAAAAATCACTTCAGAAAAGATTTGGTGGTACAAATATAAATTCTAAAATGGCTCATCATTAATCAGCAAATAATGCAAAAAAAATGGAAAATTTTTGCAAAAATTGTTATTTTTCACATTATTTTTCTTATTTGCTGCATATTTGTAAATTTATGGATTGTTACTGGAATTTCCGAAATAATAAAAAAAGATGAAGTTTGAAAATTTCGGCAATTAATAATTTAAAAACAATAATACCTCCACCATTTTTATAACAAAGATATGGAAACCTCCACACATTTCCTGAAAATGAAAGCAAAGTTTTAATATGTCAAATATATTAAGAATGACATAAAGCATTTAGCAAAATTGTAAAGGCCTGAAGAATTGCATTATTTTATATATTTATGGAAAAAATACATCTAGCCAAAATTACCGCCAAAATAAATTTTCTATTTCAATGGAGCCTCGCTCCATTGCTTTGAATTGAAATTCCCTAAAAAAAGCGAACCAAATTCTTATGTTCATTACAAAAATGAGAAAAATCATGGAAATATTTGAATGATAAAAATAAATGGATGGCATTTTTTTAATGAAGAAAAATAAAAATTAAAATGGAAGTACCTAATCCAACGGTATAAGCAATCATCGACATAATAAAATCAAATGGGCCACTCCACTGACCACGATCAGGAATGCTTTTTTTCGTTGTCTGTGGCGATAGTAGCTCTTCATTAGTAACCATAGTTGTGCATTTTTCTGGAGGTTCAGAAATGGTTAGTGCAAGATTGTTGATTTTTGTTTCCATTTTATCTATTAATTAGTCGGAATATCTGTAATCCATATAAATATATAGATTTATAAATACAATAACTACAAAATAAACTAACTAGAAACTAGAATCTTTATCAACAGATTAGTATAAATTAATACAAATTCAATTCTGCTTGCAATTTTTTCAACAGTTGAGGAGAAAATCCTCCCGACCCTCCCAATTTATTACGAAAACATTATTTATTTCAATTTTTTTGATATATATATATATATATATGAACTTTATTAAAGGAATATGTAAACACAAAATGATAATGAAAAAGTGATAAATACCAAACTTAGAGGGCAAAAAATGTAATATAGGGAGAAAAATTTTCAAAAGAAACCTATATTTGGTTCTTATTATTATTACAATCCATAGACTCGATTTCTATCCGTTGACAGTAGTAAATATGCCTTAAAAGTAAAGTGCAGGTATTGCAATGAATCCATTTCTACTTTTATTCCTAAATGACTCTATGGCGCGTCAATCTTACCATCATATCGCCAATAGAAACAGCAAAACTAGAAATGGTAAATTCTTTTGGAAAAAAGATTAGATTTTGTTGGTCAAATGCTATAGCAAATGAGTATTTTGCATTTATAAAAAATATCAAAACAAAAAAATTTTAAAATTATCAAATTTAAAAGAAGCTACGAAATAAATAATCATCAGTCCTACTGGACTCTTACATTCTTAAAGCTTTAATAAATCTTTATAAAATCTTTACATTCTTTAACTCACCTTCTCAATTATAAAATTTTTTCTTTATTCAAATATATATTCAGATATTTTTGGATTTTTTTCTAACAGCTCTCACCATTTCTGGTTAGACTCGCTTCACCAGAGAATTGACTAATAACCAGTAAAAACTGCCAAATTAGAAATGGTGAGTGCTATTAAGTAAAATGAAATTTAAAATGATTAGAAAAATGAAAATATAGAAAAATATTTAAAAAAATACAAAAATAGAGAAAAAAGAATTAAAAATGATTTATAATACAATGACTTGTTGATGAAAACTGAAATTAAAAAAAAAAGTTTTTTAAAGGAAAAAATGAGCAATTTTCAAAGGGTAAACGACCAGTTTTGATGAAGAAAAATGAGAAAATTTCATTTTCTCATCTTGCTTTAATAAAAATATATTTTAAAATGAATAAAATCTTCAAAAATTAATAAGATAAAATGAGTATAGGAGATTACATGACCTTTTTTATAAAATACTTGAAAAAAGAGAACCGACAGCAAATAAAGTTTGTGAATGAGCCAGCCGATCCTTGTTTGCATCATTTAAAATAACCAACGAAAAAAAGTCAAGTTAATTTATCCAGAAAAAAAAATAACATATCGAATCAATTTTATCTTTTCATTCGTCATTCGTTAGTTTAGTTTAGCGGTAGGTAGTCAACACTTCTAGACAGATTGGCAGCCAGAATGAGACACCAGAGAGCCACTTGGCGATAGAAGTAAGCAACATTTGCTATTTCAATTATTTTATTTCTACCGAGTACAAGGATAATGGATAATGTTCTGCAACACATACTGTCGCTCTTTTGCACTTTGCTGAATGAAAATTGGAATTGCAAATTTTAATCCCATAAGAAAAGAAAAATCGACGAAATTTATGAACTTTTCAACTCTTAATTATTTTCCATTTGTTTTTTTTCATTTTTTCCATTTAAAAATGGATTCTTAAATTCAAAATTAACTTAGTCGACGAGATAAGTTTCGACATATTTTATAGGATAAAAAAAGTTATTAGAAAAGCAAGTTTTCACTCTGCTTATTTACTACACAATCGTCAGTTTAGATTTTTAAAAAAAACACTTTAAACTGCAAACTGCAAATATTGTGTGTTCTCAATGAACATTATTTTGATATAATTTTTTAATATTAAAAAGTTAAATTCTCTCGTTTGCCTTTTTTCCTTTACATAATACGAATTTTATTTTATTATTTTATGTCCAAAAAGATAGTTCCAACCGCTAAACCATGGGCCTCCTTCAAATCTCTAACATTAAAAAATTAAACTTTTTTCCTCGAAATCCTGCAAACCATTTCACTTGCTTACCTTTAAATACTAACAGACATAATTTCAAATTCCATGTCTTGAATCTTTGTACTCTCTTAATACTCTGTCGAAACTCTATTATATTTCCTTAATAACTCAGTTGTGTTGTAAATTAAATAACATTTGTATATTTTATGCTTCTCATGTTATATAGCTTCGATGCCACTGATAACTCGCAAAGATTGTTAGTTAAACCAAAATTGGATTCAGCATGTAGTTTGAAGTCGCGCAGCTTTGCCCTATTCTTTATACCCTATAACAATCTTAAGATTTAGTTCTCTATAAAAGTTTACCTATGTTCGTGTTTTTTTCAGTTTTACTGTTCACCATTTCAAAGAATTCTTTTTTTATATCCGCAAAACTTTTTTCGCAATGAGGGAAAAACCAGTGATTAGCGTTCACCACTTTCTGGTTTGCTAAATTTCACAACACAACCCAAATAAATTGACATCACAATCGATCAAGAATTTTACTTAGCGAGATTTGTATGGGCCCTCTCCATTTGATCACCCATTTGCATCATAAAACGAGATGATGATGTCTCGAAGTGCATATCGTCTAGTGTTTTTTCAATTTTCGATAGAAAATGTTTTAAAACATGTGTTTAAATGATTTAGAAAGTACACTAGCAGTTTGTTCAGCAGTGAAAATTTATCATTTATGCGAGATTTATCTCCTAAATGTTTCGGTTTTGCAGCCTGAATTAGGGTTTACAATCTATCTGTAGTGCTATCTCAAAATGATTTTCGCTTCTGGCGAAAATCGTCTTATTCTAATTGTCAGTGAAAGCAAGTCAAATGCGTGCTAGTACTGATAAATATTTATACATTTTAAAGATTTAATAAATTTTTATACTTATTTTAAAGATTTTTTAAATGAACTCATTAATAAATCTAAAATAAATTTGAAATAACATATAAAATGCATTTGTAAATTTGCAAAAAAAAAGCAAATAAGGAAGGCGAAAAGTCAATTATCATCACTGTTCGCTAAAAAATTCAAAATTAATTATATTCAGTGTAATAAAAAAGACATTCATGAAAATAATAATTAATTCATTAATTAATAATAATTAATAATTAATTAATAATTAACAATTAATTAATTCTAAAAAATTAATTAATTCTATAAAAATAAATATTAATTCTAAAAAAAAGGAATAAAATAAAATTGAAATCGCAATAGCGGTTGTGAGAACAGAGATTTATATATCTATTATATCTATGCTATATATCTATTTATAATTGTATTTATAATGTCGCTTTAAACTAGTTAGAAAAATTTTCCAAAGAAAAAAATGAAAGTAGATCGTAATTTTTGAAAGGAAAAGATTAAAAAACCAAAATAGCGAATTTTTTCAACTTTTTTCCAAATTTAGGTTAATTAAAAGAAATAATAAGGGGATAATGAAAGCAATAAATAGAGACGATATAAAATAAAATTATATACAACAATAAAATTTTTTTTTAAGGGTCCTCACCATTATTAGTTAAACTCGCTCCCTGGTTTGTCGCATTGGGCCAATATGTCAAGGAGTCCCTTGGCGGTAGAAGTTTAGGTGAGTTGCCAGCATCACCCGAATTTTTGTACAGGTTTACTCATGTGGGGAATCGAATCATCTCAGCATCTGTGTTCTCAGTTGAGCAATAACCCACTAAGCCATTCTATATGTCAAGTAAATTATACTAAGCGATAATAATAAAATAAATGGTTGATATAATAACAATAAAATAAAAGAAGAGTGATTTTAGAATGAATTGTATTTAACATGGTCAAAACAAGAAAGTAAAGTACTGAATAAAAAAATTAAAAAATAGGTAATATTAATAAGGACGATCACTTGAACCATAAACTCACAAATATTACCTCGAGAGCATAACAATTTGCAAATTTGCAAATCTTATCAAAGATCTGGTGCAATTCCTACATTAATTCGCCAATTCCGATGTAATGAAAAAAATTACTAATTGCGCTTGTTTATGTCTTGTTTTTATGAATTTGCCCACATTTAATGCAATAAAAATAAAAAGAATTTGAGAAGCTATAAAAAAAATTTTTTCTTAAATTAGACATACACATACAGCGAATGGAAATTTTTTAATGAAAATTTGATAAGCTAATTTTCACGAACTAAGGCACCATAAAGAATTATTTCATGCCAAAATAAAAAATGTCCTCACTTGACTATATGAGACGATGATATGTGCCTCTGTTCTCAGTTAATTTAGCCTTATTTAATGTCATATTATCCAACCAGACTCCCTTTTACCACTCTGCTTTTCTTCTTTTCAACTAGAACATGTAAAAACCATCTATCACATTTTGCATTTATCAAATCAAAAAAAAAGTTTGACTTTTCCAAAAAAATTTTAAAATCATACCAAATATGCAAACTGATAAAAATTTTTAACTGAAAATAGAATGAATATGCGGAAAAAGATTCGTAATTTATAGTGCAATAGATAGACTGTCAATTAGTTTAGATCATTAATGGCTCAATTGACTACAAGGCTAAGGTTTTTCTAAGAACCGAAGCCACATGTGAAAATAGCAGAAATCGCTCCATTTTTTTCATATAGGTTCACGAAAGTTTTCGAAAAAGTAACATCTTCAGTAACATTTCTAGCTGCAGCTTTGCTTTTTGTGAAGTCAAAACTTTCGAGCTTCCAATATGCGTTAAGGCAAGTGGAAAAAAGAAGCGTAATGGGATAACGTGATGGCAATATGTCCAATACATCTTTGAAAAAAATTTGTTTGGGATTTATTGACTTGCATCGGTTTTTTATTCCAGTATTGCGCTTTCAGATTATTATTCATTTCGCCCTTCACGGATGTGTATTATTCGTGAAAATATTAACATTAATTTGACGTATAAAATAGGGTGTGAAAAATGACTTAAATCATCATAGTAAAAGCAATATAT